CGGCTCACGCAATTGAGCGATGTCTTGACGAGATGCAGCCAGCTCGTCACTAAGAAAACGAATCGAACGTTCGTTCTTAAGTTGCGCGAATGCATAAGCGGCACGATCGTCCGAACGATCGTGCGCCAGGAAATTGTAAACAACCTTTACAAGACCATGGAGCCCATAACGCCGAGTTCGTTCATGAGCCACTTCATCTTAGAACTATTCCGTTACACGGTTCAGCTTCTGAACATCAAGCTGATCCGGCCCTCGAGCCGGATCAGGTGTTCCCGCCACCACCACATCCTTTGGTAGACTTAAGCGATGGTCAACGCTTTCGAGTGGAGCGTATTTTGAACCACTGCGACGTAACCGGAGTCCGGACGAGTTACCTCGTTTGCTGGCGTGGCTATCCACAGGCGTGTGACAGCTAGGAGCCTCATGCCCAGCTGATCGTTAATGTTCTGGGTCTCGGTGAGCAATATGAAGAGACCCACCCGCTGCATTCGAATAAGGGCCGTCGGAAAACGACCCCCCCGAACGCAAGAACAGGGATTGCAAATGTCATCCTTTCGGCCATCTCAGAAGAGATGCGCACCCTTCAGTAGAGATTATTAGGGAGGTAGGCCTCCCTAGGGGCTCAGTTCGAGTTGTCCAGGCAACCTGGACACGAATCACTCCACGGGAGACAGGGTAATCCTGCCTCTCTTGAAAGCCGGTGCAACTTGTATGGCGCCCCGACTGAATTGCGTTTCTCAAACCTGGTGCGAGCTGCATCTAGTTTGGCTTGCCAGTCGTCACGGCCAATGCACTCGATGTTATGGATTCGGGCATTCCATCCTTGCATTAAGGCTTTACCGTCTCGGAAATGGCTGCCATTGTAACACCAATCTTAAAAAACGCATCGGTAAAAGCTTCCTTAGCACGGAAGGTTTCCGTGCTGATGTTAAGAGGGCAAATCCTCCCTCATTCGAACAATGGGATTCGATCCGTTAGATATTCATGCCATCCAACCCGTCCAACTCTTTGGATGATGGCATCAAAGGAGACTCCACTTGGGAAGCGTGGCGCAGGACATTTCAGTCCCTGGCCTCTTGATTGGTGCCTGCATGAGCGCTGACACCAGAAACACCCCGATCTTTTCGATTTAGTTCGCTCGTGGTGATATATAGGTGCTTCACCACCAGTCCACACGTCTGGTTGTTGGATGGACTTGCGTGAGGCGGAGACTCATCGGAGTAATCACTCGATCCGAAGATCCCAAGCATGATGCCGCTACGTTGACCGGATCCAGTCTACCTGGCTCTTGCAGTGTCCGCATCGGGTGATCCGGAGGCGTGAAGTGACGCTTTCGAGTCGGAAACATGATCCGAATCGCCAGAATAGATGAGCCCTATTTCTAGCTCATCTTGATTACGACTCGTGGTATCCGCTGCAGACGCAGAGGATGTACCTGTCGCACGTAGTGACTCACCACGTGGACGGTTCACAACAATAGGCGACAATCCCCTGCTTCTGAGGTGTGAGAGGTGCTTTCCCCGGTTGCACGCATGTGTGCAGCTGCCTTTCATGCTTCTGCAGTAGCAACTCGCTTGGTTTTCGAAACCATGGATTAACAAATGAATGGACTCTGACCAATAAGTGCAGCCCTTTCCAGAGTGATCCAACGACAGTCAGACTGTCCCCATCAATTCAATTCAATCAACGGGTTATTGATGGTAAAGGGGGGGTGATGTAACGGGGTAGGCCATTACATGATTTTGACACCAAACGGTGACAATAGAGATATTGTCTAGCAAGACACTATCCTACCAACTTTATCCAAGGTGTATTTTATTTAAGAGATATTATCCCCTTTTGAATAATGTTTATGCGCTGCTCCAAGATTGATTGATAAATACATTTAATCATATATTACCACCAATCGCTGCTAGACGCGCGCAATGAGTGGTGAACAGGTTGTCGTCATACGGCGACGCAGTTTAGTAAAGCTAGATAAAAATTAAAGTTAAATTGATAGCTTAACTGTATTGTAAACAATTCTCTTATTACCCTTCACTCAACTTAGCTGTTAAATAGATTAGCTTCCTCTGCACGTATTAGTGTACGTGAAGTTTTGCGGCCCTCCATACAAAGGGTGCCCCGTTATGCTCCATCTAATTGTTAAAGGTGTGTGTCATTCGCGTAAAAACCAGGAAGGGCAACGAATATGAGTTGACGTATCTTGTAAAATATCCTTTTGTGGACATGCTCTTCTCTTTTATTGCCTGCAAGGATCTTTTATAGTTTTCCATGACCTTCATATCGTAAAGGCATGCCTACAAGAGGCGCTGAATGCTGAGTCTGTGTATTTTCTCGTTTGAACCGCGCCCACTCGGTGGGAGACAGCTCAATCCATGTGTGCATCGAAGCTTGCATCAGAACGCCTGATCCACAGCATCGATAGCGCTCGCAAGTTTTTCGTTGGTATGGCTTCGCGAAAATATGAGCGACAGAAGATTAGGATCTCGTCTCCATCACTGAATCCGTCGTGAAGCTGAAAAAAATCATCGCCAATCCCGAGTCTTTCGACGCGCTTATTGTCAAGTAACAGTCTCTAAGTGTATCAATTTTACAGAAGTTCAGCTAGATTCCATGCCCTCTTGGAAGTTTACTGCTTTCGATAAAGGAGCAGTCATCACCCAGCTGAAGTTGGAGCATTTGACGATTATTGCGGCTTTTCACTTTCAGTTCATGTATAGTGTAGCGCACATTATGTTCAATCTCCTCGAGCTTCGCCTTTTCGGTCATGGCTTGCCTCCAACCAATTTTCGCGAGCTTGAAGGTAATCTTGTATACTTACACTGATGAAACCACGCCCTTTGACGCCACAAGACGAATTTCCTTGTACACCGAATTGACTGACATCATTATCTCGGCGCGGCTATAGCTGGCTTCGAACGATTTCCAGTTTTTGATGCTGAAGAATAAGGCGAAGACGCCACTTAAATACTTGCTGATGGATGGTGTCCGATGGCCATATCTGCAGCCGTACCAATTAAGCTGATTTTGTGGGCAAACATATAGCGATGCATCGAAACGCAACTCCTTAACAATGGCATTCATTCTATTAAGGCTTTTTAATTTACTCAGCGTGGCACCGATTAAAAAGATCGTCTTCAGTGAAAGCAACATAAGCGCCATCAACAAAATGCAGATCTCGGAGTACCATCCAGTGAATGATGAAAGCGACCTTAACGAAAGCGATCAGTATAACCAAAAAATTGACCAATTATGGCATTGTTTGATTAGATCAAATCCCCGATTTGTTTGCAAAAATCGGGTCTATCTATCCTTAAAAGGGACAGGCTTGATCGCACCTAAGAATTGTAGGGTTGACCTAACCGCATTATTTACCGACAAACAGACACACACATGCAGATAAGTAAAATATTGGCATCAATATACTGCACACTCACTAATACTATAGCTTCACCATTCGAGCTTGCAAAAATTTCGACCGATAATATCAAAGATTGTAATAAGGTGGTAGGAGCTGTGAACAGTCCGGTGAGCGCGAAGTAACGAAGGTTGCAGAGAAAAAGGGCCGTAACGTCAAATGCGGATGGATCTGCGTATTGTCGCTGAGGCTGTACAGCGTATATTTTTTGATCCACAAAACAAGATCATGATGTGCATGTGTCCTCATTCACGGTCCTTGTTTGCGTCAATGCACTTATCGTTAGACAAATTCTGTTTACTAGTAGTACTCGATTGCAAATTTACTGGTACAGATACTCTATCGTTTAATGTAATATCATACTCAAAAGACTTTGCCCATCTATTTCATTATCGGTCTTGCTTTGACCACAGACGATGCCCAGAGTGAATTCTGGCATACCCAGCGTTGCTGTGAGAGTATGTATTAAATGCAAATTGGAGCGTGTACTCCCAGGGATGGTACCTGGCGACATAGCCTAGATTGTCTCTCGACTGCCCTCATAAAAACGCGCAGCATCTCGGAGTCGATTTTGTTGCTTATTTCTGTGTTGCATGTGGTAAAAGCTGACGCCGACGAAGGAATCATTTATGAACTACAAGGATATCATCAGCCGATGTTTGATACGATTCCTCAAACGTATTTCTGTGATCTAGACGCCAGAAAAGTCACCACTAGATCAAATGCAGCCCTGCATCACGACAGCTTCTGTCCGCATCAATAAAGTGCCGGGGCTCTTCGCTCGTGCACAAAGCTTGTGCACGAACTTGTACATTTCTACTTTAGTTAACTAGGCAAGATTGCCCTAGTTAAATAAAGAATACATGTACACGATCGTTATATGCGCTTGTCATGTGGACGCGTACAACGAACCATTTTCATGCAGCTATTTCGTGACAATATGTATCTAACTCTACGGTAGAGATGCAAAAGACGTAAGTGCGACCCACTTACCCATACTTAGGACACTCAGCTCGTAGCAGGTCCACCCGTTTGATCACCATGGCAGTTCAAATGTTCTGAATATCAGTTAATATTTTCTCACGATGATTCCTACCAGGAAGGATGTAAATCATGTGTGCGATCAACAAGAAGCCGATCTATTGGTGCTAGTTCGTCCACGACGTCCACAAAATCTGTATAATTATTATTTCTAAGTCGTCGCCCACCGCATTCATTTCACAGTATCCTACTGAATTAAGCTTAGATTTCACAATTTAACTGTGATGCAAACTTTGTGCGAGACGTAGATTGCGTTAGCCGGCTTACTTTCTACTATATCCTCTGGCTCGCTTGTCCCTATCTTTATTCATATATCTTTTGAACTCATTTAAAGTTTCAAGAAGAGAGGGACGCACAGCTTTTAATCCAGCAGCTACATTCAGTGCCAGTGTCACTGACGTAGCAGTCGTAGTAGTAGCAAAAGCAGAAGAACCGGCATGTGTCCAAGCGGGCTACAGCACGAGTGAAACCTCCATCCAATATATCAGCTTCCAGGGGGTCCTCTTCTGTCCCTTCTGACGAGAAATTCCGTGATTTGATGGACGAGTTAGTCGAGGAGAGCTCCCACGAGAACTGCATGGAGAGATTCCTTGAGAGCGGCTGCGTCGAGAGCGTCAATTGTAAGCCAGTAGACAAGGTCAATTGCAAGCCAAACACGTGGAACACTCGGGAGGGAAGTGAGGAGAAGGAGGACAGTCGGAAGATGCAGCTCAACAGCTCGTTTTGTGCTATTACAATAAGAGACAAGGTCGCTCCTGTTTTGGAGCGGAGAGAATAGACTGGACGCTGCATGGTGCAGCATTTGTGGTGCAAGAGAAGGCTCTACGTTGACCGCAATGATATGGAACTGGTACAGATAAGCAAAAGAGACAGAGGTAGAAAAATTGAGGTGACGAGATTGCTGACTGCTTAGCGGCTTTGTTATTTCTTTTTCTAAGGTGATAAGATTGCTGGCTGCTGTTGTGGCTTTGTTTTTTCTTTTTCTATTCGATGTACAAAAAATGGTCACTCGCCTCGATCGGATAAGTGTCCACAAGAGCTGCGTGTTGCAGAAGTGAATTTGTGGGAGTGTCTTTGAATGAGTAAAGACTGTTTGACTTTTAACAAGATCGAGACAGCCCAAGAGGTATTGGAGCAGCCGCAAAACCAAACAATAGATCAAGATACAAGAAAATCAAGTTATCGTGCGGCGTTTCTGTCTACTCATGTAGAGTCTCCCGTTCCAGAGTCAGCAGTGATAACAAGTGAGGAGAATGGATGCTGCGGACTTATGTGGACGGCTGGGTGAACCAAGAGAACAGTGCGGCAGACAATCGAGCAACGAGGTTGATGGAATGACTAATTCACCATTACTAGAAGAAAAATAATCACGACAGCTCGTGCCACCGGCAACAGGTTAATGTTTGTCATCCGCAGGCTTGCCGCCTCCAGTGCCACCTATCACCTGTAGTCCTGCACCACTAAGTAAAGCTGTGAGATTAGTAAATGGAAGCTGTAAAAATCGCGTTCGTATACGTCCTCAGCTGCGACTGAAGTTGGAAGATATGCCTACGCCTCAACTAGCGGAAGAACGGGCCCAGCGAGCTGCGACTCGGCTTATTGCGCAGTGAGATGCAACAAAGGCTACAGTTATTGCAGCTGAAATTTTATCGGATCAAAGTGTGTTGCGGAGCTACACAGCTCTATAAGTCAGTGGAAGACTTATTTTACAAGCCAAAGGCTTACGGCTGACAGCCTATAAGTTCTACGGAATATACACCAAGTTAAACAGTCACCCAGTTCTACGGAACTCGGGTGAACTCTATGATCTAGCAGCTTAACTACTGTAGTTCTAAGGAACTACACGTACAATGTGCGAAAAGGGAATACAGGAGTCTAAGGAATCTCTAGCCCACAGCAGTTCTAAGGAACTGTCAAACGCAAGGTGCGAAAGGGGGGGTCCAGGGACTTCTGCACAAAGTGAAAACTGAACTTTATTTAGATTTTAAATCAAGGAAAATCCTACTTTATGTACTCTATGTTATTCTAAATACAAATCTTGGTGTTTGAACTAAATGGATGGTCGCCACATCACTCAGTCAATAAATGACGACGGTACAAAGTACGTTCACGGTAAGTACCGTAAACCTGGAAATATCGATCAATCGATATGATCTTGCTGATATAAAATCTAAGGTCACACGCATTCATCCGTATCATTTATGGGAGATCTTTGACCAATTCAGCCAAAGGCTAGTGTGACCCCGTTACACCCCCCCCCACCGGACTGACGTTACCACAAACTTCACTCGACCTATTCTCCTGTTGAGACTTGTTACAAAGTAACACACTCACATGAATCGACCTGGGCACCTTTTGGAAGATAAGGCTCTAGCCGAATTTCTTGGTGTCGAGGACGTGGACTTTGACAGTGGTAGTGATACCGAAGTCGAGGAGGAAGAGTAATCCAAACCCAGCACACCTGTGCGTGGGGACATTCCCCATCCGGCACCAAATCCGTTCCCCGAACGTAGTGCCGCGACTGCGCTAACAGCGCTGGGAGTAATGTCCCCCATGGATACATTCATCATCACTAACCCGCTTGACGAGTAGCAACAACGCATGCTCGATCAAGCGGCAAGCGCACAGCGTAAGTCAGAAGTTCAGACAACGTTGCAACGACACAGTGAATATACGTTCACTCCACCTGACGTCATAGAACTCATTCGTCAAGCGTCACGCCATAATTTGGCAACATGGGCCACCGGCCCCGAGGCAAAAACTACAACTGAACTCGAATGCCGCAAGGCTCTTCGAGAGAGGTACTTGGAACCTACTGTGAGGAATTTGAGTCAATACAGAAAACGGCTGCAAAAGCAGGCCCAAGGAGCACCGGTTCCACAAATTTGGGGTGTACCCATCATTATGTCCGAAGATGGGGACGAAACTGGGGAGGATAATATGTTCATCCGCTGGGTGCATGGCGTTTGACGCCTCAGTAGTTTGCAGCGCTACGCGAAAGTGCCAGTGTGGCAGACGTTCGTCTAGAGCGAAAGCTTCGCTATGACTTCGCGAAGTTAAAGGCCAGAGGACGGCTGCGGGGATTATCACGCTCCCGCTATGCTTCGGCTGCCTCTGCAGCCGCGAATTCACGTCAACCTTTTGACACGAACTCACCCGCTCTCACTACGACGAGTGAGAAGCGTGGCGCTCGTCAAGACGAGCTCGGCCCTGGCGCTCAAAAACGTCAACGGCGTATGGGCAGTCTTGCCGAAGGGGAAGCTCATACTCCCATGAGTTTTCAGACTCAAGGTACCCACGCCACTTCACCAGATATTGGTAGTGACATTGACGAAGACGTCGTTAAAGTACCCGCTACACTTGGAACTTTAAGTTCCCTTGCTTATCAAGCAATGCCGGTGGCGGTCGGAGTATCGGCTGAAAGCCATGGTGAGCTGGTGAAGAAAGTGGAGGATCTCCGTGGGATTTTGGGTCAGACTCAGAACGCCGTGGGCGAAGTTCGATCTCGTCTGGCGACGTTGGAAGGCGATCACGCCCGTCTTCAGATGATGGAGTCACATCAGACTCGTGGCGAGGCTCAACTTGACATCTCAATTCGAATGCAAGATCCTGTGGCAACGCCAATGTACGCGGCGCAAGCGCCTTCAAGTCAACATGGGACGGGTCCCGGTATGGCTTAAGCAGGCCGACATACAAGACGGGATGTGTACGCAGTTTGCGCGGCAAGTTGAGGGTATACGCAAGGCCCTTCTTGACCACGACCGTAAAAGGTCCAATGAAGCGCGGACGCAACTTCGTTTTAAAAACAGCTGACACTACCTTTGTAGGTAGATTTTTAGCGTTTAGCAAGACTTGGTCTCCGACCTCACAACTTTCAATGCAATTCTGCCTTTGGCATCTGCTTTTTCATTTTGTCTATCTTGGCTATCAGCCACTGCATCTCGCATATGTCGTAAGACATTCAACCTTGTTGAAAGGAACTCACCAACCTGTTTCTGAACAGTGGCAGGGCTGACATCAGCAAGCCGATCGGCATTCCATCCCCCACCGAGCCCGGAACCATGGAGTGGTTGCGTCAATGGGACGCGCGGATGGGTGAGGCCGTTGACATAGAACGGGGTGTAACCAGTCGAGGCATAGACCGAATTGTTCATGGCAAATTCGACCACCGGAAGCATAGAGCTCCAACGCCGAGGCGTATCTGCGCAAACGCTGCGCAAAATGTCTCCAATGATTCGATTAACGTGGTCAGCTTGACCATCGGTCTGCGGATGATCCGCGGTGGACATGTCCAATCTGGTGCTGAGCACCTTGAAAATAAATTTCCAAAAATTCCCCGTAAAGCGAGGATCGCGATCTGAAACAATTGCCAAAGACGAACCGTGTTGACGAAACACACGATCGATAAATAGCTGTGCTGTACGTTCACCATCAATAGAAGCCGGCACAGCCGCTAAATGAGTCATCTTACTCAAACGGTCAACAAAGACCACAATACCAGTGTTGCCGTCCAAATCTGTTGGTAAACCAAACACAAAGTCCATACTGATGGATTCCCAACAACCCGTGGGTATAGGCAAGCTCGCCAAAGGCGCAGCCGCATGAGCGGAGGGTTTGACCCGTTGACACGTTTCACACGTATGCACGTATATTCTTACCCATTTATATAATTTGGGCCACCAATAGTGTTGACTGACCGAGCCATAGGTCTTCTCTCGACAGAGATGACCGCTCAAAGCTGTATTATGCGCCTCAAAGAGGAAACGATACTTCAATTACTCATCATAAGGTACGACGATGCGCGGAGTATCCGCCGCATCCGCGCTATAGCACAAGAGACCGTGATTGAAAGAATATCGATGTAGTCCTGCACGCAAGCGTGCCGACAATTAAATGTCCGAGTCTATAAACTCATCACAACCGAGCGCGCGTAACAACGCGACACACTGATTATCCTTGGCATTAGCCGCACAAATTAAATCAGGGAAATTAGACGACAGAGTCGTAACACGAGCAAGATCATAATCCGGCCTGCGTGATAACGCATCGGCCAAAGCAGGTTGCTTCCCTGGTTTACACCTCACCTCGATGTTATACTCAGCGAATTATGAAAACCAACGGGCTATGCGTTGCGAGATATGAGGCGACTGGGTCGCAGTGCGCAACGATGCATGATCCGTGTATATTACAAACGGCTTGGAGCCAAGTTGATGTACTCTGAACTTGACAAGAGCAAACTTTATTGCAAGTAACTCTTTGTCATGAACTGGATAGTTCTTTTCAGCAGCTTTTGGCTGGTGAGACTCATACGCAATGACGCGCTCATGTTCATCGACATCAGTTTGCAACAATGCACTGCCAATGGCAAACTCAGATGCGTCACAGACGACAGTGAAAGGTCACTCCGGGTCAGGCAAAGCCAAAATTGGAGCATGAAGGAGACTCTCCTTAACAGCTTATAAAGCTTGCGCCTGTACCGAGTCCAAATACCAAACCGCGTCCTTTTAAAGGAGGTTGGTTAATCGCCGTGCCATGTCAGCATAGTTTGCACTATACTTTTGTAAGTAATTGGCTAAGCCATTTACGCAAGTCTTTTGGGTTGGACGAAACCGGCCAATCCACAATGGATTTTACCTTAGCGAGATCTGCCTGTAGGCCGCTCTTTACAATGAAGCACCCTAGAGAGAAGATTTCTTCAGCACCAAAAATGCAATTAGATGCATTTGCTTACAACTTGTTGGTGCGCATGCACCCGAGCACTGCTCGTAAATGGTCAATATGATTTTCCACATCTGATCTTCCTTGTTCTGCACGGCTATGGACAAAAATGTCATCAAAATAGCCTTGTGCATATCCTCTATGTGGGCGGAACAACTGCGTCAAGAGACGATTAAAGGTTGCGCGGGCATTAGAAAGTCCCTGAGGCATAACAAGCCACTCTCTAAGCATGCCACTCGGCTTGCTAAGCGCTGTGAGCGAGATATCACTCGCTCGCGTGAGCAGTTGGTAATAACCATCGACTAAGTCGAGTGTGCTAAGCATGGTGCAATCCACCATAGCGTTCTGAAGAAAATGCTTTATTGGAATGGGTGTCTGCGCAGATATAGTGGCCGCATTGAGCTTATTGTAAGCGTTCACAATACGCCATTTACCATTGGGCTTTCTGAAAAATATGTCGGTGTGGAGTGTGGAGATTTGTTTCCCGCACCATGCCTGCCGCGTGCTTTGCACGAAAGAACTCGTCAATAACGTCAAACTGTTTCTTAGGCAATGGCCATTGTCGTGTAACACAATATTTGGTCCCAGGGATCAGGTCAATTTCATGACGCACACCTCTGTCGGGAGGTAGAGTGGATGGTGGATCATGACACACCACGTCCTGAAATTCCTTTACCATAGGATAGAAGGGATCCGAAGGATCCTTCAAAATGGTAGATCCACTGCGAGGACTGAGTGCAACTTTAACGTCCTCAAGGACTGTCTCATCTGCAAGGGCTGACGAGTTCAACTCAAGATCAGGTCTAAGGACCACCGTATCGGAAATAGCATTAGCCTTTAAAGCTTGTTGAAATTCGTCTACAGATATTTCGTTTAGCTCTAGAAGAGCATTAACCGATGGGAGGGCCTCGAGGCCAACTTCTCCATCAATCGCACCCGAAACCCAATGACTAACGTGGACAACTGTTCACTAGTGTCCTTCTGGGTCATGGCAGAAGCCTTTCTTTTCACAGCCGCCATCTGGCGTCGCTGTCGTCTCTGTTTAGAAACTGAACACTTTAACGTGTTAGGAACATCCGGTTCTACGAGGTGAAGATTATCTTCAACCTCGACCTGCTCTCTTAGAGAGCCAATGTCATTACCGACATTAAGTGTGGTGCCCTCACGGCCGACCTCACTCTGTGGACAGTTATCCACTATAATCGCGTCTGTTGAGCATAGATCTTAATGTCTTGGCGCATATCCAACAACATCATTACCGACATTTAGTGGGGTGCCATCACGGCCGGCCTCACTCTGTGGACAGTTATCCACTATAATCGCATCTGTTGAGCATAGATCTTGATGTCTTGGAGCATCGCCAACAACATCATTACCGACATTTAGTGGGGTGCCATCACGGCCGGCCTCACTCTGTGGACAGTTATCCACTATGTTCGCGTCTGTTGAGCATAGATCTTGCTGTCTTGGCTCATCGCCAACAACATCATTACCGACATTTAGTGGTGTGCCATCACGGCCGGCCTCACTCTGTGGACAGTTATCCACTATGTTCGCATCTGTTGAGCATAGCTCTTGATGCCTTGGCGAATCGCCAGCAACATCGTTACAGACATTTAGTGGGATGCCATCACTGCCGACCTCACTCTGTGGATGTTTACGTGCCACTCGACGCGCATCACAGGGATCAAACCCAGGATGACTCGGCCTTAAGCCATCAATGCTTCCAGCATTCATGATTCACTGTCATTACTAGTGTCACATAACATGTTATGTGCCGTTTTTCATTGTCAATGACATCAAAGTTAACTAGCTCAGACACTCCAACGTCAAGCACACTGAAAGACTTCGTCAATGGCGCGCGCCAATAGCTCTTTTGTTGCCTAGCAAAGGTAGGTTCATGACTCTCCAGAGCTTCACTAGACGGTTGCGCGTTGCGCCTAAGGTCTTCGACCTCCAATCAACCCATGGCTCATGGCGTTGAATCCAAGCCATACCAAGGATGAGATCATATCTCGAGTTCAAATCCAGGACCAGACAACGTTCGATACTATCGAGATCTATACATTTCACACCTAAGTTCAACGGAACATTAGGGAAGGTGACACGAGTGCCTGTCGCTGAGTGAACAGTGATTACATCACCCTCATGCACTTTCAGCGCCTCAACATATTGCTGGCATCTCTCTAGGGACCGGCGTCGAGCATAGTTGTCTAACGCTCCAGAGTCAATTAATATTGACCACGGCTCTTCAAAGGCCTAAATCGTAGCCGAGGCCACTAACAAGTCTGGCTTATACTCACGTCTCGTGGAAACTTCCACGAGACCGTCTGGGGCTGATCCCTGTCTATCCACACCACCTAAAGATTCGGCAGAAGCTAGTTCCTCCCCAGTAGGGCGCCCGCGCCTACTGGGAGTTTCCGTTTTCCCGCTCCGTACCCACATTCAAGTTAGGAGGCGAATTGCGGCACGGCCGACTTTGACGCGGCTTCCGCAGTGGGCACTGAGGGCGCAAGTGCTTGGTGATTCCGCACATGTAACATCTACGGACGTTACGTTGATGTTCAACAGCCAGAAGCTCTCTCTCTTCTTCTTTAGCATGGCTGAGGTCCGTGGGCTCAGACCCATCAAATGGTCTTAGGGCATGCTTATGAGTGCCATAGCGAGCGGCTTTAAAGTTGAACTCAGCATTCAACGCTTTGTCTACAGCCTCCTCAAACGTTAAGGAGTGGACGCGGAAGACTTTTGTCCTCGCGATCCCCGTGCGGATGCCCTTCATAAAAATGGTGATACGGACTTACTCTGGAAGAGGGTCCAGCTGCATAGCAGCTATGAGAGTTCGCAACTCTTGGACAAAGTCCGATAATTCTCTCTTTCCCTGCCTGGCGGCTAGGAATCGAGAGCGAACACAAAACGCTTGATTCGATGGCGCGAACACCCGAGACATCTCTCGTCTAAGCGAATCCCATGCGGGAGACGCAGCGCTAACCGACGCATCACAGGTAAGAGCCCATTCTATGGCTCTGCCACCGAGCTAAGAAATGGCTAGGCCAACTTTCTGTCGCTCCGATTGAAGCAAGGAGGCTTCAATAGCCACATCGATTTCTCGGATCCAAAGAGGAGACTTCCCCCTCTTTCCCCTCGAAAGTCTTAACGCTAAGGGTGAGCGGACGAGTCTTAGTCTCACTGTCGGGTACTGAAAAGTACCGTGTGGGCACGGCTGAGAATAAATGGTCGTGGACCTGCCCTATCAGCGTAGCCTCAAACTGCATAAATGCATTAAGACTTGCACTAAGCACTTCTGGGCATTGGGCCACAATGTGGTCGACCTGCTCGACACCTATCAACGATCTAAGCTTATCAAGCGCAATATGTTGAGCCTCAAAGAGGTAGTCAAGGCCTTTCATCTCTCACAGAGGATTAGTCGACACGACTCAGGTGTGGGATTGACTACGGGTGCTACCAAGTGTAGCGGAGCTACACAGCTTTTAAAGTCAGAGGAAGACTTATTTTTCAAGCCAAAGGCTTACGGCTGACAGCCTATAAGTTCTACGGAATATACACCAAGTTAAAAAGTCACCCAGTTCTACGGAACTCGGGTGAACTCTATGATCTAGCAGCTTAACTACTGTAGTTCTAAGGAACTACACGTACAATGTGCGAAAAGGGAATACAGGAGTCTAAGGACTCTCTAACCCACAACAGCTCTAAGGAACTGTCAAACGCAAGGTGCGAAAGGGGGAGGAAGTCCAGGGACTTCTGCTCGAAATGAGAACTGAACTTTATTTAGATTTTAAATCAAGGAAAATCCTACTTTATGTACCCTATATTATCCAAAATGGTTGCCACATCTCTCAGTCATCAAATGATGACGCTACACAGTACGTACACGGTAAGTACCGTAAACCCGGGAATATCGATCAATCGATACTCTCTTGCTGATATAAAATCCAAGGTCACACACATTCATTCATATCATTCATGGGAGGTCTTTGACCAATTCAGCCGAAGGCTAGTGTGACCCCGTTACAAAGTGACTTTAGCGATGACCCCAGTGCCACACAGCGGGCGGTGATGAAATTGAATCGTACTTCAGGGTCAGAGTCGGGCTTTCAGTCTGCAGACGGTGCGTCCAGAACTATTCCAATAGCATTCGGCGGTCTGGTACTAATTCGTACTTATGTGGTCTAGAAGCGACCAGACTGCGAGCGACATAGCGCAGAAAGTGTTTATTCGTAATAAAGGATGTATCCGTATACGGGCGGGCGGCGGCACATGGTGCGTAAGCTTCATGCGCTTTATTTAATCTTGTATTTTCGGCAGATAGTGACAGCCCGATATCGCAACTTTCTCGACCGGAAAGAGCACGGGTAAGCATAAAGCAAGGTACGCAACTGCACACATATGTGTACACAGTATGTTTCGACTAAAAAACTTGTGCGTTTGCTTGTAATGAGTAGACCCGCCCATACATTGTATCCTACTATAAAGCATTTGTCAATCGTCCACGAAGCTCAATTTGTATGGTAGTGGGATATATGAGAAAAAGGTCGCTACAGGATATCATTTTGCGTGGAGGCTGCCAAAATGAGAGGGTTCAGCGCGGCTGGCGACCAGCTTACTGCGCGGCTTGTCTCTGTGAATGTCTCCATGTCTCCACTTTTTGTAGTTTACATATTGCCGACTGCTTGTGTGTGCAAATGTGTCATGACTAAAAAGCAGTGCGTTTGAATGTAACGCGTGGCTTTCTTGCTACATTCTGAGTCGCGCTGCGGGGTATCATTTGTGTCCGAAGCGACCCCTATGTCATCCCGACGTCATGTGTTTCTTCCACAATGCAAGTGAGAAACTAGCGATAGCAGAAGACTAGACGAGTGGAAGTGGAGTTACTGACTTGGAAACTTCTCTTGTGCTTGCATTCCGACAGCTACACCTGGGCTTTGCTAACTACTTGGATGTGTCTGTACATTTGGTCAACGAGAATTTCGAAGAGGTGGGAAGTCAACTCGTCTATTCGCTTGCGTGGCCCTTGCTGACACGACTTAACTTGTGCAACGCAGGAACGTTGCTATTACAGCGACAAATTGCTGGAAAATTATTGCGACTCTCCGCAAAGTTGGGCGGCCTCACCTGGACTGTCACGGCGCCAGCAATTCGGTATTGGCACAGATAGTCGACAACGCACACTGCAGGAAAAGGGTTCACTGTGGCGAAAGATACAAAAGAGTATGTCTAACCTCTCAAAACTTGGGCACAGCAAGCGCAGGAAAAAAGAGCGAGAACGACGACGCTCTGCCGCAGCATTATAGGATACAAAACACGCTTACAAAGCTTCAAAGCTCAACTTAGTAAATCAATTATGATCGCTTTAGTGACTGGCGTTATTTGCTTCTGCTAGGACTCACTTGCGCTGCCCCTTTCAGATGTCCTACGTTGGCAGTGTAAAGCTTTGCAATAGATAGACATGGCACCGCAAAGAGTCCCAGGCCTTTTGCATGGTAAAACGAATGCGAGCGCGCCAACTCAGCGACAAATTTTCACAGCAAACAAAGCCCATGAGTCCGCATTCTCGTCAATCCACCCCGCCAAACTCCACTACCATCTAACTGCACCTTCATTTTCTCGATCATGTACCGTTCAAAGTTCGCCATGTGGATATCCAGTAACGCATTGACGTTCTCGACGCGAAGTTTCTGATCGGACAGAATCCAGAGTTTTTTTCCTTCTCCTTGGCAGCACTCCATCCCTTCAGTACACAGAAACAATAAGGCAAATAAGCGTACGAACAGATCGGTCCATAGAATTCACCCACGGATCTTTTTGATAGAGATAACTTCCAACTCGCCGACACGTATCTTCATCCTGCTTGTCCCCTTCATTGAACGACTAAACCTTGTGGTAGAACGCACGGACATCTGGATGCAAGTAAAGCGACTTTGCGCACGTGGCGTTTCCCACTCAGATACTCTTGTGCCGCTAAAGAATCCATTTCACGAGCAGCCACGAGCCAACACAAGGTCACCGCCACACTGCGTCCCGTGCCTTCTTTGCAGTGAACGTACATCCTGACTCCCGTTGTTTCTACATCTAAATGAACGCAACAGCTGCTGTTAATGCCTCAAGTGAAGGCGAAAAGTGGTCAACTGTCGGCAGTTGAAGCTGCTGGATGTGGTGTCTCTTGTACTGCTCCATAGGGCATGCGTACTCATCACGTAGATTGACAACTGCATCAACCCCACAAGCTGCTGGAGCGTCAACATGAGGCAGAAAAGCTGTGGACGCTGCTCCCAGCAGGACATGCGAGTCCACCAGCGTCCAGTACTTCTGACGTTGCGATAAGTACGAGAGTGGCCACGTCAGGAAAAAGAATACTTGAGCTACGACTTGGGCTGCGACTTGGACTGCTGCTTGGGCAACAGATGCAGTTGGAACGCAGCATAGAGTACGAGAGTTGCGAGTGCCCAGATCTGCCAGCTAGTGATGGTTTTCAAATCAAGTCATTTTTGCCAGCCAACGACAACGACTACGACTTGAGGGGATTTCGTAAGTGTAGTCAAAGCGATGTGCGACTCAAAGTGGACAAGATCCCCACCCAGGGGTGGATACAAGCGGCACACTCTCCGTCTGTTTCTGCCGTAGCTCCTTGTACCGTCGACGCTCAATGCGGTACAGCAGGAGCTCACGTCTCGGTCAAAGTACGACTGCACGCCTTCCATGACGCCCGTCACGTCCTTGAACTCCTTTTCTTTGCCCCGCCTCTCCAGCATGCACCTTGCTCTGCGTCACGTCCAAGTACGTCTTGATTATCGAAGAACCCCCATCTATTCACCACCATACAACAACAAAGACAAGCACAACCTCGTCAATACCCACCACCACGAACCCTCTCTCTCTCTCTCTTGCTCCCTCCCTCTCGCTCTCTCTCCCCAACCGTTGCATATTGGGTTTCCTCGGCAACGGCACAAGTTGATGCAGAGCTTGCGTGGCGGCTTACTTTCTACTATATCTTCGGGCTCGCTTGTGCCTCACTTGCGCTGCCCCTTTCAGATGTCCTACGTTGGCAGTGTAAAGCTTTGCAATAGATTGACATGGCACTGCAAAGAGTCCCAGGCCTTTTGCATGGTAAAACGAATGCGAGCGCGCCAACTCAGCGACAAATTTTCACAGCAAACAAAGCCCATGAGTCCGCATTCTCGTCAATCCACCACGCCAAACTCCACTACCATCTAACTGCACCTTCATTTTCTCGATCATGTACCGTTCAAAGTTCGCCATGTGGATATCCAGCAACGCATTGACGTTCTCGACGCGAAGTTTCTGATCGGACAGAATCCAGAGTTTTTTTTCCTTCTCCTTGGCAGCACTCCATCCCTTCAGTACACAGAAACAATAAGGCAAATAAGTGTACGAACAGATCGGTCCATAGAATTCACCCACGGATCTTTTTGATAGAGATAACTTCCAACTCGCCGACACGTATCTTCATCCTGCTTGTCCCCTTCATTGAACGACTAAACCTTGTGGTAGAACGCACGGACATCTGGATGCAAGTAAAGCGACTTTGCGCACGTGGCGTTTCCCACTCAGATACTCTTGTGCCGCTAAAGAATCCATTTCACGAGCAGCCACGAGCCAACACAAGGTCACCGCCACACTGCGTCCCGTGCCTTCTTTGCAGTGAACGTACATCCTGACTCCCGTTGTTTCTACATCTAAATGAACGCAACAGCTGCTGTTAATGCCTCAAGTGAAGGCGAAAAGTGGTCAACTGTCGGCAGTTGAAGCTGCTGGATGTGGTGTCTCTTGTACTGCTCCATAGGGCATGCGTACTCATCACGTAGATTGACAACTGCATCAACCCCACAAGCTGCTGGAGCGTCAACATGAGGCAGAAAAGCTGTGGACGCTGCTCCCAGCAGGACATGCGAGTCCACCAGCGTCCAGTACTTCTGACGTTGCGATAAGTACGAGAGTGGCCACGTCAGGAAAAAGAATACTTGAGCTACGACTTGGGCTGCGACTTGGACTGCTGCTTGGGCAACAGATGCAGTTGGAACGCAGCATAGAGTACGAGAGTTGCGAGTGCCCAGATCTGCCAGCTAGTGATGGTTTTCAAATCAAGTCATTTTTGCCAGCCAACGACAACGACTACGACTTGAGGGGATTTCGTAAGTGTAGTCAAAGCGATGTGCGACTCAAAGTGGACAAGATCCCCACCCAGGGGGTGGATACAAGCGGCACACTCTCCGTCTGTTTCTGCCGTAGCTCCTTGTACCGTCGACGCTCAATGCGGTACAGCAGGAGCTCACGTCTCGGTCAAAGTACGACTGCACGCCTTCCATGACGCCCGTCACGTCCTTGAACTCCTTTTCTTTGCCCCGCCTCTCCAGCATGCACCTTGCTCTGCGTCACGTCCAAGTACGTCTTGATTATCGAAGAACCCCCATCTATTCACCACCATACAACAACAAAGACAAGCACAACCTCGTCAATACCCACCACCACGAACCCTCTCTCTCTCTCTCTTGCTCCCTCCCTCTCGCTCTCTCTCCCCAACCGTTGCATATTGGGTTTCCTCGGCAACGGCACAAGTTGATGCAGAGCTTGCGTGGCGGCTTACTTTCTACTATATCTTCGGGCTCGCTTGTGCCTCACTTGCGCTGCCCCTTTCAGATGTCCTACGTTGGCAGTGTAAAGCTTTGCAATAGATTGACATGGCACTGCAAAGAGTCCCAGGCCTTTTGCATGGTAAAACGAATGCGAGCGCGCCAACTCAGCGACAAATTTTCACAGCAAACAAAGCCCATGAGTCCGCATTCTCGTCAATCCACCACGCCAAACTCCACTACCATCTAACTGCACCTTCATTTTCTCGATCATGTACCGTTCAAAGTTCGCCATGTGGATATCCAGCAACGCATTGACGTTCTCGACGCGAAGTTTCTGATCGGACAGAATCCAGAGTTTTTTTCCTTCTCCTTGGCAGCACTCCATCCCTTCAGTACACAGAAACAATAAGGCAAATAAGTGTACGAACAGATCGGTCCATAGAATTCACCCACGGATCTTTTTGATAGAGATAACTTCCAACTCGCCGACACGTATCTTCATCCTGCTTGTCCCCTTCATTGAACGACTAAACCTTGTGGTAGAACGCACGGACATCTGGATGCAAGTAAAGCGACTTTGCGCACGTGGCGTTTCCCACTCAGATACTCTTGTGCCGCTAAAGAATCCATTTCACGAGCAGCCACGAGCCAACACAAGGTCACCGCCACACTGCGTCCCGTGCCTTCTTTGCAGTGAACGTACATCCTGACTCCCGTTGTTTCTACATCTAAATGAACGCAACAGCTGCTGTTAATGCCTCAAGTGAAGGCGAAAAGTGGTCAACTGTCGGCAGTTGAAGCTGCTGGATGTGGTGTCTCTTGTACTGCTCCATAGGGCATGCGTACTCATCACGTAGATTGACAACTGCATCAACCCCACAAGCTACTGGAGCGTCAACATGAGGCAGAAAAGCTGTGGACGCTGCTCCCAGCAGGACATGCGAGTCCACCAGCGTCCAGTACTTCTGACGTTGCGATAAGTACGAGAGTGGCCACGTCAGGAAAAAGAATACTTGAGCTACGACTTGGGCTGCGACTTGGGCTGCTGCTTGGGCAACAGATGCAGTTGGAACGCAGCATAGAGTACGATAGTTGCGAGTGCCCAGATCTGCCAGCTAGTGATGGTTTTCAAATCAAGTCATTTTTGCCAGCCAACGACAACGACTACGACTTGAGGGGATTTCGTAAGTGTAGTCAAAGCGATGTGCGACTCAAAGTGGACAAGATCCCCACCCAGGGGTGGATACAAGCGGCACACTCTCCGTCTGTTTCTGCCGTAGCTCCTTGTACCGTCGACGCTCAATGCGGTACAGCAGGAGCTCACGTCTCGGTCAAAGTACGACTGCACGCCTTCCATGACGCCCGTCACGTCCTTGAACTCCCTTTTCTTTGCCCCGCCTCTCCAGCATGCACCTTGCTCTGCGTCACGTCCAAGTACGTCTTGATTATCGAAGAACCCCCATCTATTCACCACCATACAACAACAAAGACAAGCACAACCTCGTCAATACCCACCACCACGAACCCTCTCTCTCTCTCTTGCTCCCTCCCTCTCGCTCTCTCTCCCCACCTGTTGCATATTGGGTTTCCTCGGCAACGGCACAAGTTGATGCAGAGCTTGCGTGGCGGCTTACTTTCTACTATATCTTCGGGCTCGCTTGTGCCTCACTTGCGCTGCCCCTTTCAGATGTCCTACGTTGGCAGTGTAAAGCTTTGCAATAGATTGACATGGCACCGCAAAGAGTCCCAGGCCTTTTGCATGGTAAAACGAATGCGAGCGCGCCAACTCAGCGACAAATTTTCACAGCAAACAAAGCCCATGAGTCCCCATTCTCGTCAATCCACCACGCCAAACTCCACTACCATCTAACTGCACCTTCATTTTCTCGATCATGTACCGTTCAAAGTTCGCCATGTGGATATCCAGCAACGCATTGACGTTCTCGACGCGAAGTTTCTGATCGGACAGAATCCAGAGTTTTTTCCTTCTCCTTGGCAGCACTCCATCCCTTCAGTACACAGAAACAATAAGGCAAATAAGCGTACGAACAGATCGGTCCATAGAATTCACCCACGGATCTTTTTGATAGAGATAACTTCCAACTCGCCGACACGTATCTTCATCCTGCTTGTCCCCTTCATTGAACGACTAAACCTTGTGGTAGAACGCACGGACATCTGGATGCAAGTAAAGCGACTTTGCGCACGTGGCGTTTCCCACTCAGATACTCTTGTGCCGCTAAAGAATCCATTTCACGAGCAGCCACGAGCCAACACAAGGTCACCGCCACACTGCGTCCCGTGCCTTCTTTGCAGTGAACGTACATCCTGACTCCCGTTGTTTCTACATCTAAATGAACGCAACAGCTGCTGTTAATGCCTCAAGTGAAGGCGAAAAGTGGTCAACTGTCGGCAGTTGAAGCTGCTGGATGTGGTGTCTCTTGTACTGCTCCATAGGGCATGCGTACTCATCACGTAGATTGACAACTGCATCAACCCCACAAGCTGCTGGAGCGTCAACATGAGGCAGAAAAGCTGTGGACGCTGCTCCCAGCAGGACATGCGAGTCCACCAGCGTCCAGTACTTCTGACGTTGCGATAAGTACGTGAGTGGCCACGTCAGGAAAAAGAATACTTGAGCTACGACTTGGGCTGCGACTTGGGCTGCTGCTTGGGCAACAGATGCAGTTGGAACGCAGCATAGAGTACGAGAGTTGCGAGTGCCCAGATCTGCCAGCTAGTGATGGTTTTCAAATCAAGTCATTTTTGCCAGCCAACGACAACGACTACGACTTGAGGGGATTTCGTAAGTGTAGTCAAAGCGATGTGCGACTCAAAGTGGACAAGATCCCCACCCAGGGGTGGATACAAGCGGCACACTCTCCGTCTGTTTCTGCCGTAGCTCCTTGTACCGTCGACGCTCAATGCGGTACAGCAGGAGCTCACGTCTCGGTCAAAGTACGACTGCACGCCTTCCATGACGCCCGTCACGTCCTTGAACTCCTTTTCTTTGCCCCGCCTCTCCAGCATGCACCTTGCTCTGCGTCACGTCCAAGTACGTCTTGATTATCGAAGACCCCCATCTATTCACCACCATACAACAACAAAGACAAGCACAACCTCGTCAATACCCACCACCACGAACCCTCTCTCTCTCTCTTGCTCCCTCCCTCTCGCTCTCCTCTCCCCACCTGTTGCATATTGGGTTTCCTCGGCAACGGCACAAGTTGATGCAGAGCTTGCGTGGCGGCTTACTTTCTACTATATCTTCGGGCTCGCTTGTGCCTCACTTGCGCTGCCCCTTTCAGATGTCCTACGTTGGCAGTGTAAAGCTTTGCAATAGATTGACATGGCACCGCAAAGAGTCCCAGGCCTTTTGCATGGTAAAACGAATGCGAGCGCGCCAACTCAGCGACAAATTTTCCACAGCAAACAAAGCCCATGAGTCCGCATTCTCGTCAATCCACCCCGCCAAACTCCACTACCATCTAACTGCACCTTCATTTTCTCGATCATGTACCGTTCAAAGTTCGCCATGTGGATATCCAGCAACGCATTGACGTTCTCGACGCGAAGTTTCTGATCGGACAGAATCCAGAGTTTTTTCCTTCTCCTTGGCAGCACTCCATCCCTTCAGTACACAGAAACAATAAGGCAAATAAGCGTACGAACAGATCGGTCCATAGAATTCACCCACGGATCTTTTTGATAGAGATAACTTCCAACTCGCCGACACGTATCTTCATCCTGCTTGTCCCCTTCATTGAACGACTAAACCTTGTGGTAGAACGCACGGACATCTGGATGCAAGTAAAGCGACTTTGCGCACGTGGCGTTTCCCACTCAGATACTCTTGTGCCGCTAAAGAATCCATTTCACGAGCAGCCACGAGCCAACACAAGGTCACCGCCACACTGCGTCCCGTGCCTTCTTTGCAGTGAACGTACATCCTGACTCCCGTTGTTTCTACATCTAAATGAACGCAACAGCTGCTGTTAATGCCTCAAGTGAAGGCGAAAAGTGGTCAACTGTCGGCAGTTGAAGCTGCTGGATGTGGTGTCTCTTGTACTGCTCCATAGGGCATGCGTACTCATCACGTAGATTGACAACTGCATCAACCCCACAAGCTGCTGGAGCGTCAACATGAGGCAGAAAAGCTGTGGACGCTGCTCCCAGCAGGACATGCGAGTCCACCAGCGTCCAGTACTTCTGACGTTGCGATAAGTACGTGAGTGGCCACGTCAGGAAAAAGAATACTTGAGCTACGACTTGGGCTGCGACTTGGGCTGCTGCTTGGGCAACAGATGCAGTTGGAACGCAGCATAGAGTACGAGAGTTGCGAGTGCCCAGATCTGCCAGCTAGTGATGGTTTTCAAATCAAGTCATTTTTGCCAGCCAACGACAACGACTACGACTTGAGGGGATTTCGTAGGTGTAGTCAAAGCGATGTGCGACTCAAAGTGGACAAGATCCCCACCCAGGGGTGGATACAAGCGGCACACTCTCCGTCTGTTTCTGCCGTAGCTCCTTGTACCGTCGACGCTCAATGCGGTACAGCAGGAGCTCACGTCTCGGTCAAAGTACGACTGCACGCCTTCCATGACGCCCGTCACGTCCTTGAACTCCTTTTCTTTGCCCCGCCTCTCCAGCATGCACCTTGCTCTGCGTCACGTCCAAGTACGTCTTGATTATCGAAGACCCCCATCTATTCACCACCATACAACAACAAAGACAAGCACAACCTCGTCAATACCCACCACCACGAACCCTCTCTCTCTCTCTTGCTCCCTCCCTCTCGCTCTCTCTCCCCACCTGTTGCATATTGGGTTTCCTCGGCAACGGCACAAGTTGATGCAGAGCTTGCGTGGCGGCTTACTTTCTACTATATCTTCGGGCTCGCTTGTGCCTCACTTGCGCTGCCCCTTTCAGATGTCCTACGTTGGCAGTGTAAAGCTTTGCAATAGATTGACATGGCACCGCAAAGAGTCCCAGGCCTTTTGCATGGTAAAACGAATGCGAGCGCGCCAACTCAGCGACAAATTTTCCACAGCAAACAAAGCCCATGAGTCCGCATTCTCGTCAATCCACCCCGCCAAACTCCACTACCATCTAACTGCACCTTCATTTTCTCGATCATGTACCGTTCAAAGTTCGCCATGTGGATATCCAGCAACGCATTGACGTTCTCGACGCGAAGTTTCTGATCGGACAGAATCCAGAGTTTTTTTCCTTCTCCTTGGCAGCACTCCATCCCTTCAGTACACAGAAACAATAAGGCAAATAAGCGTACGAACAGATCGGTCCAATAGAATTCACCCACGGATCTTCTTTGATAGAGATAACTTCCAACTCGCCGACACGTATCTTCATCCTGCTTGTCCCCTTCATTGAACGACTAAACCTTGTGGTAGAACGCACGGACATCTGGATGCAAGTAAAGCGACTTTGCGCACGTGGCGTTTCCCACTCAGATACTCTTGTGCCGCTAAAGAATCCATTTCACGAGCAGCCACGAGCCAACACAAGGTCACCGCCACACTGCGTCCCGTGCCTTCTTTGCAGTGAACGTACATCCTGACTCCCGTTGTTTCTACATCTAAATGAACGCAACAGCTGCTGTTAATGCCTCAAGTGAAGGCGAAAAGTGGTCAACTGTCGGCAGTTGAAGCTGCTGGATGTGGTGTCTCTTGTACTGCTCCATAGGGCATGCGTACTCATCACGTAGATTGACAACTGCATCAACCCCACAAGCTGCTGGAGCGTCAACATGAGGCAGAAAAGCTGTGGACGCTGCTCCCAGCAGGACATGCGAGTCCACCAGCGTCCAGTACTTCTGACGTTGCGATAAGTACGTGAGTGGCCACGTCAGGAAAAAGAATACTTGAGCTACGACTTGGGGGCTGCGACTTGGGCTGCTGCTTGGGCAACAGATGCAGTTGGAACGCAGCATAGAGTACGAGAGTTGCGAGTGCCCAGATCTGCCAGCTAGTGATGGTTTTCAAATCAAGTCATTTTTGCCAGCCAACGACAACGACTACGACTTGAGGGGATTTCGTAAGTGTAGTCAAAGCGATGTGCGACTCAAAGTGGACAAGATCCCCACCCAGGGGTGGATACAAGCGGCACACTCTCCGTCTGTTTCTGCCGTAGCTCCTTGTACCGTCGACGCTCAATGCGGTACAGCAGGAGCTCACGTCTCGGTCAAAGTACGACTGCACGCCTTCCATGACGCCCGTCACGTCCTTGAACTCCTTTTCTTTGCCCCGCCTCTCCAGCATGCACCTTGCTCTGCGTCACGTCCAAGTACGTCTTGATTATCGAAGAACCCCCATCTATTCACCACCATACAACAACAAAGACAAGCACAACCTCGTCAATACCCACCACCACGAACCCTCTCTCTCTCTCTTGCTCCCTCCCTCTCGCTCTCTCTCCCCACCTGTTGCATATTGGGTTTCCTCGGCAACGGCACAAGTTGATGCAGAGCTTGCGTGGCGGCTTACTTTCTACTATATCTTCGGGCTCGCTTGTGCCTCACTTGCGCTGCCCCTTTCAGATGTCCTACGTTGGCAGTGTAAAGCTTTGCAATAGATTGACATGGCACCGCAAAGAGTCCCAGGCCTTTTGCATGGTAAAACGAATGCGAGCGCGCCAACTCAGCGACAAATTTCCACAGCAAACAAAGCCCATGAGTCCGCATTCTCGTCAATCCACCCCGCCAAACTCCACTACCATCTAACTGCACCTTCATTTTCTCGATCATGTACCGTTCAAAGTTCGGCCATGTGGATATCCAGCAACGCATTGACGTTCTCGACGCGAAGTTTCTGATCGGACAGAATCCAGAGTTTTTTTCCTTCTCCTTGGCAGCACTCCATCCCTTCAGTACACAGAAACAATAAGGCAAATAAGCGTACGAACAGATCGGTCCATAGAATTCACCCACGGATCTTCTTTGATAGAGATAACTTCCAACTCGCCGACACGTATCTTCATCCTGCTTGTCCCCTTCATTGAACGACTAAACCTTGTGGTAGAACGCACGGACATCTGGATGCAAGTAAAGCGACTTTGCGCACGTGGCGTTTCCCACTCAGATACTCTTGTGCCGCTAAAGAATCCATTTCACGAGCAGCCACGAGCCAACACAAGGTCACCGCCACACTGCGTCCCGTGCCTTCTTTGCAGTGAACGTACATCCTGACTCCCGTTGTTTCTACATCTAAATGAACGCAACAGCTGCTGTTAATGCCTCAAGTGAAGGCGAAAAGTGGTCAACTGTCGGCAGTTGAAGCTGCTGGATGTGGTGTCTCTTGTACTGCTCCATAGGGCATGCGTACTCATCACGTAGATTGACAACTGCATCAACCCCACAAGCTGCTGGAGCGTCAACATGAGGCAGAAAAGCTGTGGACGCTGCTCCCAGCAGGACATGCGAGTCCACCAGCGTCCAGTACTTCTGACGTTGCGATAAGTACGTGAGTGGCCACGTCAGGAAAAAGAATACTTGAGCTACGACTTGGGCTGCGACTTGGGCTGCTGCTTGGGCAACAGATGCAGTTGGAACGCAGCATAGAGTACGAGAGGTGCGAGTGCCCAGATCTGCCAGCTAGTGATGGTTTTCAAATCAAGTCATTTATTGCCAGCCAACGACAACGACTACGACTTGAGGGGATTTCGTAAGTGTAGTCAAAGCGATGTGCGACTCAAAGTGGACAAGATCCCCACCCAGGGGTGGATACAAGCGGCACACTCTCCGTCTGTTTCTGCCGTAGCTCCTTGTACCGTCGACGCTCAATGCGGTACAGCAGGAGCTCACGTCTCGGTCAAAGTACGACTGCACGCCTTCCATGACGCCCGTCACGTCCTTGAACTCCTTTTCTTTGCCCCGCCTCTCCAGCATGCACCTTGCTCTGCGTCACGTCCAAGTACGTCTTGATTATCGAAGATCCCCATCTATTCACCACCATACAACAACAAAGACAAGCACAACCTCGTCAATCCCCACCACCACGAACCCTCTTTCTCTCTCTCTTGCTCCCTCCCTCTCGCTTCCTCTCCCCACCTGTTGCATGTTGGGTTTCCTCGGCAACGGCACAAGTTGATGCAGAGCTTGCGTGGCGGCTTACTTTCTACTATATCCTCTGGCTCGCTTGTGCCTCACTTGCGCTGCCCCTTTCAGATGTCCTACATTGGCAGTGTAAAGCTTTGCAATAGATTGACATGGCACGGCAAAGAGTTCCAGGCCTTTTGCATGGTAAAACGCCTGCGAGCGCGCCAACTCAGCGACAATTTTCCACAGCAAACAAAGCCCATGAGTCCACATTCTCGTCAATCCACCCCGCCAAACTCCACTACCGTCGAACTGCGCCTTCATTTTCCCGATCATGTACCGTTCGAAGTTCGGTCCATGTGGATATCCAGCAACGCATTGACGTTCTCAACGCGAGGTTTCTGATCGGACAGCATCCGGATTTTTTTTCTTTCTCCTTGGCAGCACTCCATCTTTGCAGTACACAGAAACAATCAGGCAAATAAGCAGGCGAACAGATCGGTCAATAGAATTCACCCACGGATCTTCTTTATAGAGATGACTTCCAACTCGCCGACACGTACCTTCATCCTGCTTGTCCCCTTCATTCAACGACCAAACCTTGTGGTAGAACGCACGGACATCTGGATGCAAGTAAAGCGACTTTGCGCACGTGGCGTTTTCCCATTCAGATACTCCTGTGCCGCTCAAGGATCCATTTCACGAGCAGCCACGAGCCAACACAAGGTCACCGCCACACTGCGTCCCGTGCCTCCTTTGCAGTGAACGTACGTCCTGACTCCCGTTGTTTCTGCATCTGGATAAACGCAACGGCTGCTGTTAATGCCTCAAGTGACGGCCAAAAGTGGTCAACTGTCGGCAGTTGAAGCTGCTGGATGTGGTGTCTCTTGTACTGGTTCATAGGGCATGCGTACTCATCACATCGATTGACAACTGCACCAACCCCACAAGCTACTGGAGCGTCAACATGAGGCACAAAAGCTGTGGACGCTGCTCCCAGCAGGACATGCGAGTCCACCGGCGTCCAGTAGTTCTGACGTTGCGATAAGTACGTGAGTGGCAACGTCAGGTAAAAGAATACTTGGGCTGCGACTTGAGCTGCTGGCTTGGGCTGCGACTTGGGCTGCTGGCTTGGGCAACAGATGCAGTTGGAACGCAGCATAGAGCACGAGAGGTACGAGTGCCCAGATCTGCCAGATAGTGATGGTTTTCAAATCAAGTCGTTTATTGCCAGCCAACGACGACGACGACGACTTGAGGGGATTTCGTAGGTGTAGTCAAAACGATGTGCGACTCAAAGTGGACAAGATCCCCACCCAGGGGTGGCTACACTCGGCACACTCTCCGTCTGTTTCTGACGTAGCTCCTGGTACCGTCGACACTCAATGCGGTACAGCAGGAGCTCACGGCTCGGTCAAAGTACGACTGCACGCCTTCCATGACGCCCGTCACGTCCTTGAACTCCCTTTCTTTGCCCCGCCTCTCCAGCATGCACCTTGCTCTGCTTCACGTCCAAGTGCGTCTTGATTATCGAAGATCCCCATCCATTCACTACCATACAACAACAAAGACAAGCACAACCTCGTCAATCCCCACCACCACGAACCCTCTCTCTCTCTCTTGCTCCCTCCCTCTCGCTTCCTCTCCCCACCTGTTGCATGTTGGGTTTCCTCGGCAACGGCACAAGTTGATGCAGAGCTTACGTGGCGGCTTACTTTCTACTATATCCTCTAGCTCGCTTGTGCCTCACTTGCGCTGCCCCTTTCAGATGTCCTACATTGGCAGTGTAAAGCTTTGCAATAGATTGAGATGGTACGGCAAAGAGTTCCAGGCCTTTTGCATGGTAAAACGCCTGCGAGCGCGCCAACTCAGCGACAATTTTCTACAGCAAACAAAGCCCATGAGTCCACATTCTCGTCAATCTACCCCTCCAAACTTCACTACCGTCGAACTGCGCCTTCATTTTCCTCGATCATGTACCGTTCGAAGTTCGGTCCATGTGGATATCCAGCAACGCATTGACGTTCTCAACGCGAGGTTTCTGATTGACAGCATCCGGATCTTTTTTCCTTTCTCCTTGGCAGCACTCCATCTTTGCAGTACACAGAAACAATCAGGCAAATAAGCAGACGAACAGATCGGTCAATAGAATTCACTCACGGATCTTCTTTATAGAGATGACTTCCAACTCGCCGACACGTACCTTCATCCTGCTTGTCACCTTCATTCAACGACCAAACCTTGTGGTAGAACGCACGGACATCTGGATGCAAGTAAAGCAACTTTGCGCACGTGGCGTTTTCCCATTCAGATACTCCTGTGTCGCTCAAGGATCCATTTCACGAGCAGCCACGAGCCAACACAAGGTCACCGCCACACTGCGTCCCGTGCCTCCTTTGCAGTGAACGTACGTCCTGACTCCCGTTGTTTCTGCATCTGGATAAACGCAACGGCTGCTGTTAATGCCTCAAGTGACGGCCAAAAGTGGTCAACTGTCGGCAGTTGAAGCTGCTGGATGTGGTGTCTCTTGTACTGGTTCGTAGGGCATGCGTACTCATCACATCGATTGACAACTGCACCAACCCCACAAGCTACTGGAGCGTCAACATGAGGCACAAAAGCTGTGGACGCTGCTCCCAGCAGGACATGCGAGTCCACCGGCGTCCAGTAGTTCTGACGTTGCGATAAGTACGTGAGTGGCAACGTCAGGTAAAAGAATACTTGGGCTGCGACTTGAGCTGCTGGCTTGGGCTGCGACTTGGGCTGCTGGCTTGGGCAACAGATGCAGTTGGAACGCAGCATAGAGCACGAGAGGTACGAGTGCCCAGATCTGCCAGATAGTGATGGTTTTCAAATCAAGTCGTTTATTGCCAGCCAACGACGACGACGACGACTTGAGGGGATTTTGTAGGTGTAGTCAAAACGATGTGCGACTCAAAGTGGACAAGATCCCCACCCAGGGGTGGCTACACTCGGCACACTCTCCGTCTGTTTCTGACGTAGCTCCTGGTACCGTCGACACTCAATGCGGTACAGCAGGAGCTCACGGCTCGGTCAAAGTACGACTGCACGCCTTCCATGACGCCCGTCACGTCCTTGAACTCCCTTTTCGTTGCCCCGCCTCTCCAGCATGCACCTTGCTCTGCTTCACGTCCAAGTGCGTCTTGATTATCGAAGATCCCCATCCATTCACCACCATACAACAACAAAGACAAGCACAACCTCGTCAATCCCCACCACCACGAACCCTCTCTCTCTCTCTCTTGCTCCCTCCTCTCGCTCTCTCTCCCCACCTGTTGCATGTTGGGTTTCCTCGGCAACGGCACAAGTTGATGCAGAGCTTACGTGGCGGCTTACTTTCTACTATATCCTCTAGCTCGCTTGTGCCTCACTTGCGCTGCCCCTTTCAGATGTCCTACATTGGCAGTGTAAAGCTTTGCAATAGATTGAGATGGTACGGCAAAGAGTTCCAGGCCTTTTGCATGGTAAAACGCCTGCGAGCGCGCCAACTCAGCGACAATTTTCTACAGCAAACAAAGCCCATGAGTCCACATTCTCGTCAATCTACCCCGCCAAACTCCACTACCGTCGAACTGCGCCTTCATTTTCCCGATCATGTACCGTTCGAAGTTCGGTCCATGTGGATATCCAGCAACGCATTGACGTTCTCAACGCGAGGTTTCTGATTGACAGCATCCGGATCTTTTTTCCTTCTCCTTGGCAGCACTCCATCTTTGCAGTACACAGAAACAATCAGGCAAATAAGCAGACGAACAGATCGGTGAATAGAATTCACTCACGGATCTTCTTTATAGAGATGACTTCCAACTCGCCGACACGTACCTTCATCCTGCTTGTCACCTTCATTCAACGACCAAACCTTGTGGTAGAACGCACGGACATCTGGATGCAAGTAAAGCAACTTTGCGCACGTGGCGTTTCCCATTCAGATACTCCTGTGTCGCTCAAGGATCCATTTCACGAGCAGCCACGAGCCAACACAAGGTCACCGCCACACTGCGTCCCGTGCCTCCTTTGCAGTGAACGTACGTCCTGACTCCCGTTGTTTCTGCATCTGGATAAACGCAACGGCTGCTGTTAATGCCTCAAGTGACGGCCAAAAGTGGTCAACTGTCGGCAGTTGAAGCTGCTGGATGTGGTGTCTCTTGTACTGGTTCGTAGGGCATGCGTACTCATCACATCGATTGACAACTGCACCAACCCCACAAGCTACTGGAGCGTCAACATGAGGCACAAAAGCTGTGGACGCTGCTCCCAGCAGGACATGCGAGTCCACCGGCGTCCAGTAGTTCTGACGTTGCGATAAGTACGTGAGTGGCAACGTCAGGTAAAAGAATACTTGGGCTGCGACTTGAGCTGCTGGCTTGGGCTGCGACTTGGGCTGCTGGCTTGGGCAACAGATGCAGTTGGAACGCAGCATAGAGCACGAGAGATACGAGTGCCCAGATCTGCCAGATAGTGATGGTTTTCAAATCAAGTCGTTTATTGCCAGCCAACGACGACGACGACGACTTGAGGGGATTTTGTAGGTGTAGTCAAAACGATGTGCGACTCAAAGTGGACAAGATCCCCACCCAGGGGTGGCTACACTCGGCACACTCTCCGTCTGTTTCTGCCGTAGCTCCTGGTACCGTCGACACTCAATGTGGTACAGCAGGAGCTTACGGCTCGGTAAAAGTACGACTGCACGCCTTCCATGACGCCCGTCACGTCCTTGAACTCCCTTTCTTTGCCCCGCCTATCCAGCATGCACCTTGCTCTGCTTCACGTCCAAGTACGTCTTGATTATCGAAGATCCCCATCCATTCACCACCGTACAACAACAAAGACAAGCACAACCTCGTCAATCCCCACCACCACGAACCCTCTTTCTCCCTCATGCTCCCTCCTCTCGCTTCCTCTCCCCACCTGTTGCATGTTGGGTTTCCTCGGCAACGGCACAAGTTGATGCAGAGCTTGCGTGGCGGCTTACTTTCTACTATATCCTCTAGCTTGCTTGTGCCTCACTTGCGCTGCCCCTTTCAGATGTCCTACATTGGCAGTGTAAAGCTTTGCAATAGATTGACATGGTACGGCAAAGAGTTCCATGCCTTTGGCATGGTAAAACGCCTGCGAGCGCGCCAACTCAGCGACAATTTTCTACAGCAAACAAAGCCCATGAGTCCACATTCTCGTCAATCTACCCCGCCAAACTCCACTACCGTCGAACTGCGCCTTCTTTTTTCTCGATCATGTACCGTTCGAAGTTCGGTCCATGTGGATATCCAGCAACGCATTGACGTTCTCAACGCGAGGTTTCTGATTGACAGCATCCGGATCTTTTTTTCCTTCTCCTTGGCAGCACTCCATCTATGCAGTACACAGAAACAATCAGGCAAATAAGCAGACGAACAGATCGGTCAATAGAATTCACTCACGGATCTTCTTTATAGAGATGACTTCCAACTCGCCGACACGTACCTTCATCCTGCTTGTCACCTTCATTCAACGACCAAACCTTGTGGTAGAACGCACGGACATCTGGATGCAAGTAAAGCAACTTTGCGCACGTGGCGTTTCCCATTCAGATACTCCTGTGTCGCTCAAGGATCCATTTCACGAGCAGCCACGAGCCAACACAAGGTCACCGCCACACTGCGTCCCGTGCCTCCTTTGCAGTGAACGTACGTCCTGACTCCCGTTGTTTCTGCATCTGGATAAACGCAACGGCTGCTGTTAATGCCTCAAGTGACGGATATAAGTGGTCAACTGTCGGCAGTTGAAGCTGCTGGATGTGGTGTCTCTTGTACTGGTTCGTAGGGCATGCGTACTCATCACATCGATTGACAACTGCACCAACCCCACAAGCTACTGGAGCGTCAACATGAGGCACAAAAGCTGTGGACGCTGCTCCCAGCAGGACATGCGAGTCCACCGGCGTCCAGTAGTTCTGACGTTGCGATAAGTACGTGAGTGGCAACGTCAGGTAAAAGAATACTTGGGCTGCGACTTGAGCTGCTGGCTTGGGCTGCGACTTGGGCTGCTGGCTTGGGCAACAGATGCAGTTGGAACGCAGCATAGAGCACGAGAGGTACGAGTGCCCAGATCTGCCAGATAGTGATGGTTTTCAAATCAAGTCGTTTATTGCCAGCCAACGACGACGACGACGACTTGAGGGGATTTTGTAGGTGTAGTCAAAACGATGTGCGACTCAAAGTGGACAAGATCCCCACCCAGGGGTGGCTACACTCGGCACACTCTCCGTCTGTTTCTGCCGTAGCTCCTGGTACCGTCGACACTCAATGCGGTACAGCAGGAGCTCACGGCTCGGTCAAAGTACGACTGCACGCCTTCCATGACGCCCGTCACGTCTTTGAACCCCCTTTCTTTGCCCCGCCTCTCCAGCATGCACCTTGCTCTGCTTCACGTCCAAGTACGTCTTGATTATCGAAGATCCCCATCCATTCACCACCGTACAACAACAAAGACAAGCACAACCTCGTCAATCCCCACCACCACGAACCCTCTTTCTCCCTCATGCTCCCTCCTCTCGCTCTCTCTCCCCACCTGTTGCATGTTGGGTTTCCTCGGCAACGGCACAAGTTGATGCAGAGCTTACGTGGCGGCTTACTTTCTACTATATCCTCTAGCTCGCTTGTGCCTCACTAGCGCTGCCCCTTTCAGATGTCCTACATTGGCAGTGTAGAGCTTTGCAATAGATTGACATGGTACGGCAAAGAGTTCCATGCCTTTGGCATGGTAAAACGCCTGCGAGCGCGCCAACTCAGCGACAATTTTCTACAGCAAACAAAGCCCATGAGTCCACATTCTCGTCAATCTACCCCGCCAAACTCCACTACCGTCGAACTGCGCCTTCATTTTTCTCGATCATGTACCGTTCGAAGTTCGGTCCATGTGGATATCCAGCAACGCATTGACGTTCTCAACGCGAGGTTTCTGATTGACAGCATCCGGATCTTTTTTTTCCTTCTCCTTGGCAGCACTCCATCTATGCAGTACACAGAAACAATCAGGCAAATAAGCAGACGAACAGATCGGTCAATAGAATTCACTCACGGATCTTCTTTATAGAGATGACTTCCAACTCGCCGACACGTACCTTCATCCTGCTTGTCACCTTCATTCAACGACCAAACCTTGTGGTAGAACGCACGGACATCTGGATACAAGTAAAGCAACTTTGCGCACGTGGCGTTTCCCATTCAGATACTCCTGTGTCGCTCAAGGATCCATTTCACGAGCAGCCACGAGCCAACACAAGGTCACCGCCACACTGCGTCCCGTGCCTCCTTTGCAGTGAACGTACGTCCTGACTCCCGTTGTTTCTGCATCTGGATAAACGCAACGGCTGCTGTTAATGCCTCAAGTGACGGATATAAGTGGTCAACTGTCGGCAGTTGAAGCTGCTGGATGTGGTGTCTCTTGTACTGGTTCGTAGGGCATGCGTACTCATCACATCGATTGACAACTGCACCAGCCCCACAAGCTACTGGAGCGTCAACATGAGGCACAAAAGCTGTGGACGCTGCTTCCAGCAGGACATGCGAGTCCACCGGCGTCCAGTAGTTCTGACGTTGCGATAAGTACGTGAGTGGCAACGTCAGGTAAAAGAATACTTGGGCTGCGACTTGAGCTGCTGGCTTGGGCTGCGACTTGGGCTGCTGGCTTGGGCAACAGATGCAGTTGGAACGCAGCATAGAGCACGAGAGGTACGAGTGCCCAGATCTGCCAGATAGTGATGGTTTTCAAATCAAGTCGTTTATTGCCAGCCAACGACGACGACGACGACTTGAGGGGATTTTGTAGGTGTAGTCAAAACGATGTGCGACTCAAAGTGGACAAGATCCCCACCCAGGGGTGGCTACACTCGGCACACTCTCCGTCTGTTTCTGCCGTAGCTCCTGGTACCGTCGACACTCAATGCGGTACAGCAGGAGCTTACGGCTCGGTAAAAGTACGACTGCACGCCTTCCATGACGCCCGTCACGTCTTTGAACCCCCTTTCTTTGCCCCGCCTCTCCAGCATGCACCTTGCTCTGCTGGTTCGGTCCATGTAGATATCCAGCAACGCATTGACGTTCTCAACGCGAGGTTTCTGATTGACAGCATCCGGATCTTTTTTCTTTCTCCTTGGCAGCACTCCATCTTTGCAGTACACAGAAACAATCAGGCAAATAAGCAGACGAACAGATCGGTCAATAGAATTCACTCACGGATCTTCTTTATAGAGATGACTTCCAACTCGCCGACACGTACCTTCATCCTGCTTTTCACCTTCATTCAACGACCAAACCTTGTGGTAGAACGCACGGACATCTGGATGCAAGTAAAGCAACTTTGCGCACGTGGCGTTTTCCCATTCAGATACTCCTGTGTCGCTCAAGGATCCATTTCACGAGCAGCCACGAGCCAACACAAGGTCACCGCCACACTGCGTCCCGTGCCTCCTTTGCAGTGAACGTACGTCCTGACTCCCGTTGTTTCTGCATCTGGATAAACGCAACGGCTGCTGTTAATGCCTCAAGTGACGGATATAAGTGGTCAACTGTCGGCAGTTGAAGCTGCTGGATGTGGTGTCTCTTGTACTGGTTCGTAGGGCATGCGTACTCATCACATCGATTGACAACTGCACCAGCCCCACAAGCTACTGGAGCGTCAACATGAGGCACAAAAGCTGTGGACGCTGCTTCCAGCAGGACATGCGAGTCCACCGGCGTCCAGTAGTTCTGACGTTGCGATAAGTACGTGAGTGGCAACGTCAGGTAAAAGAATACTTGGGCTGCGACTTGAGCTGCTGGCTTGGGCTGCGACTTGGGCTGCTGGCTTGGGCAACAGATGCAGTTGGAACGCAGCATAGAGCACGAGAGGTACGAGTGCCCAGATCTGCCAGATAGTGATGGTTTTCAAATCAAGTCGTTTATTGCCAGCCAACGACGACGACGACGACTTGAGGGGATTTTGTAGGTGTAGTCAAAACGATGTGCGACTCAAAGTGGACAAGATCCCCACCCAGGGGTGGCTACACTCGGCACACTCTCCGTCTGTTTCTGCCGTAGCTCCTGGTACCGTCGACACTCAATGCGGTACAGCAGGAGCTCACGGCTCGGTCAAAGTACGACTGCACGCCTTCCATGACGCCCGTCACGTCTTTGAACCCCCTTTCTTTGCCCCGCCTCTCCAGCATGCACCTTGCTCTGCTTCACGTCCAAGTACGTCTTGATTATCGAAGATCCCCATCCATTCACCACCGTACAACAACACAGACAAGCACAACCTCGTCAATCCCCACCACCACGAACCCTCTTTCTCTCTCTTGCTCCCTCCTCTCGCTTCCTCTCCCCACCTGTTACATGTTGGGTTTCCTCGGCAACGGCACAAGTTGATGCAGAGCTTACGTGGCGGCTTACTTTCTACTATATCCTCTAGCTCGCTTGTGCCTCACTTGCGCTGCCCCTTTCAGATGTCCTACATTGGCAGTGTAAAGCTTTGCAATAGATTGAGATGGTACGGCAAAGAGTTCCAGGCCTTTTGCATGGTAAAACGCCTGCGAGCGCGCCAACTCAGCGACAATTTTCTACAGCAAACAAAGCCCATGAGTCCACATTCTCGTCAATCTACCCCGCCAAACTCCACTACCGTCGAACTGCGCCTTCATTTTCTCGATCATGTACCGTTCGAAGTTCGGTCCATGTGGATATCCAGCAACGCATTGACGTTCTCAACGCGAGGTTTCTGATTGACAGCATCCGGATCTTTTTTCTTTCTCCTTGGCAGCACTCCATCTTTGCAGTACACAGAAACAATCAGGCAAATAAGCAGACGAACAGATCGGTCAATAGAATTCACTCACGGATCTTCTTTATAGAGATGACTTCCAACTCGCCGACACGTACCTTCATCCTGCTTGTCACCTTCATTCAACGACCAAACCTTGTGGTAGAACGCACGGACATCTGGATGCAAGTAAAGCAACTTTGCGCACGTGGCGTTTTCCCATTCAGATACTCCTGTGTCGCTCAAGGATCCATTTCACGAGCAGCCACGAGCCAACACAAGGTCACCGCCACACTGCGTCCCGTGCCTCCTTTGCAGTGAACGTACGTCCTGACTCCCGTTGTTTCTGCATCTGGATAAACGCAACGGCTGCTGTTAATGCCTCAAGTGACGGCCAAAAGTGGTCAACTGTCGGCAGTTGAAGCTGCTGGATGTGGTGTCTCTTGTACTGGTTCGTAGGGCATGCGTACTCATCACATCGATTGACAACTGCACCAACCCCACAAGCTACTGGAGCGTCAACATGAGGCACAAAAGCTGTGGACGCTGCTCCCAGCAGGACATGCGAGTCCACCGGCGTCCAGTAGTTCTGACGTTGCGATAAGTACGTGAGTGGCAACGTCAGGTAAAAGAATACTTGGGCTGCGACTTGAGCTGCTGGCTTGGGCTGCGACTTGGGCTGCTGGCTTGGGCAACAGATGCAGTTGGAACGCAGCATAGAGCACGAGAGGTACGAGTTCCCAGATCTGCCAGATAGTGATGGTTTTCAAATCAAGTCGTTTATTGCCAGCCAACGACGACGACGACGACTTGAGGGGATTTTGTAGGTGTAGTCAAAACGATGTGCGACTCAAAGTGGACAAGATCCCCACCCAAGGGTGGCTACACTCGGCACACTCTCCGTCTGTTTCTGACGTAGCTCCTGGTACCGTCGACACTCAATGCGGTACAGCAGGAGCTCACGGCTCGGTCAAAGTACGACTGCACGCCTTCCATGACGCCCGTCACGTCTTTGAACCCCCTTTCGTTGCCCCGCCTCTCCAGCATGCACCTTGCTCTGCTTCACGTCCAAGTGCGTCTTGATTATCGAAGATCCCCATCCATTCACCACCATACAACAACAAAGACAAGCACAACCTCGTCAATCCCCACCACCACGAACCCTCTTTCTCTCTCTTGCTCCCTCCTCTCGCTTCCTCTCCCCACCTGTTGCATGTTGGGTTTCCTCGGCAACGGCACAAGTTGATGCAGCTTACGTGGCGGCTTACTTTCTACTATATCCTCTAGCTCGCTTGTGCCTCACTTGCGCTGCCCCTTTCAGATGTCCTACATTGGCAGTGTAAAGCTTTGCAATAGATTGAGATGGTACGGCAAAGAGTTCCAGGCCTTTTGCATGGTAAAACGCCTGCGAGCGCGCCAACTCAGCGACAATTTTCTACAGCAAACAAAGCCCATGAGTCCACATTCTCGTCAATCTACCCCGCCAAACTTCACTACCGTCGAACTGCGCCTTCATTTTCCCGATCATGTACCGTTCGAAGTTCGGTCCATGTGGATATCCAGCAACGCATTGACGTTCTCAACGCGAGGTTTCTGATTGACAGCATCCGGATCTTTTTTCTTTCTCCTTGGCAGCACTCCATCTTTGCAGTACACAGAAACAATCAGGCAAATAAGCAGACGAACAGATCGGTCAATAGAATTCACTCACGGATCTTCTTTATAGAGATGACTTCCAACTCGCCGACACGTACCTTCATCCTGCTTGTCACCTTCATTCAACGACCAAACCTTGTGGTAGAACGCACGGACATCTGGATGCAAGTAAAGCAACTTTGCGCACGTGGCGTTTTCCCATTCAGATACTCCTGTGTCGCTCAAGGATCCATTTCACGAGCAGCCACGAGCCAACACAAGGTCACCGCCACACTGCGTCCCGTGCCTCCTTTGCAGTGAACGTACGTCCTGACTCCCGTTGTTTCTGCATCTGGATAAACGCAACGGCTGCTGTTAATGCCTCAAGTGACGGATATAAGTGGTCAACTGTCGGCAGTTGAAGCTGCTGGATGTGGTGTCTCTTGTACTGGTTCGTAGGGCATGCGTACTCATCACATCGATTGACAACTGCACCAACCCCACAAGCTACTGGAGCGTCAACATGAGGCACAAAAGCTGTGGACGCTGCTCCCAGCAGGACATGCGAGTCCACCGGTGTCCAGTAGTTCTGACGTTGCGATAAGTACGTGAGTGGCAACGTCAGGTAAAAGAATACTTGGGCTGCGACTTGAGCTGCTGGCTTGGGCTGCGACTTGGGCTGCTGGCTTGGGCAACAGATGCAGTTGGAACGCAGCATAGAGCACGAGAGGTACGAGTGCCCAGATCTGCCAGATAGTGATGGTTTTCAAATCAAGTCGTTTATTGCCAGCCAACGACGACGACGACGACTTGAGGGGATTTTGTAGGTGTAGTCAAAACGATGTGCGACTCAAAGTGGACAAGATCCCCACCCAGGGGGTGGCTACACTCGGCACACTCTCCGTCTGTTTCTGCCGTAGCTCCTGGTACCGTCGACACTCAATGCGGTACAGCAGGAGCTCACGGCTCGGTCAAAGTACGACTGCACGCCTTCCATGACGCCCGTCACGTCTTTGAACCCCCTTTCTTTGCCCCGCCTCTCCAGCATGCACCTTGCTCTGCTTCACGTCCAAGTACGTCTTGATTATCGAAGATCCCCATCCATTCACCACCGTACAACAACAAAGACAAGCACAACCTCGTCAATCCCCACCACCACGAACCCTCTTTCTCCCTCATGCTCCCTCCTCTCGCTTCCTCTCCCCACCTGTTGCATGTTGGGTTTCCTCGGCAACGGCACAAGTTGATGCAGAGCTTACGTGGCGGCTTACTTTCTACTATATCCTCTAGCTTGCTTGTGCCTCACTTGCGCTGCCCCTTTCAGATGTCCTACATTGGCAGTGTAAAGCTTTGCAATAGATTGACATGGTACGGCAAAGAGTTCCATGCCTTTTGCATGGTAAAACGCCTGCGAGCGCGCCAACTCAGCGACAATTTTCTACAGCAAACAAAGCCCATGAGTCCACATTCTCGTCAATCTACCCTGCCAAACTCCACTACCGTCGAACTGCGCCTTCATTTTCTCGATCATGTACCGTTCGAAGTTCGGTCCATGTGGATATCCAGCAACGCATTGACGTTCTCAACGCGAGGTTTCTGATTGACAGCATCCGGATCTTTTTTCTTTCTCCTTGGCATCACTCCATCCCTGCAGTACACAGAAACAATCAGGCAAATAAGCAGACGAACAGATCGGCCAATAGAATTCACTCACGGATCTTCTTTATATAGATGACTTCCAACTTGCCGACACGTTGTTACGGGGTGAATCGATACATAAGAATTTATTAGTATCGTTAAATGAATATATCTTTAAGAGTTGTATTCTCAGAATGTTGTCATAAGGACAAATATTCTGCAGCACTTACGAGTAGTTCCTAATTGGTTGATATAGGCTTTTATATCAACCAACGAAGATGCGCCACGACAGACGCACGCAATGAGTGGTGAGCAGATAGTTGATGTACACATTTGTATTTAGTCATAGTTAGATGAGGACAAACAGTGGTTTATTAACAGACATTAACTATTATAAATAAAGTTCTACTTAAACCAAGTACTCGCTTCTTCTTACCGTCTTCCTCTGCACGTACGAGTGTACGTGAAGTTCCAAGGCACCGCCTTATTCTGTCGTCAGAAAAAGTAGGTTGTACTGTCACCAGTACAATATTCAGGGTGCCCCGTTACACACCACATCCACCAGCTTTAACTGCCGACAGTTGACCACTTATATCCGTCACTTGAGGCATTAAGAGCAGCCGTTGCGTTCATCCAGATGCAGAAACAACGGGAGTCAGGACGTACGTTCACTGCAAAGGAGGCACGGGACGCAGTGTGGCGGTGACCTTGTGTTGGCTCGTGGCTGCTCGTGAAATGGATTTTTGAGCGACACAGGAGTATCTGAATGGAAAACGCCACGTGCGCAAAGTTGCTTTACTTGAATCCAGATGTCCGTGCGTTCTACCACAAGGTTTGGTCGTTGAATAAAGGGGACAAGCAGGATGAAGGTACGTGTCGGCGAGTTGGAAGTCATCTCTATAAAGAAGATCCGTGAGTGAATTCTATTGACCGATCTGTTCGTCTGCTTATTTGCCTGATTGTTTCTGTGTACTGCAAAGATGGAGTGCTGCCAAGGAGAAAGAAAAAAGATCCGGATGCTGTCAATCAGAAACCTCGCGTTGAGAACGTCAATGCGTTGCTGGATATCTACATGGACCGAACCAGCAGAGCAAGGTGCATGCTGGAGAGGCGGGGCAAAGAAAGGGGGTTCAAAGACGTGACGGGCGTCATGGAAGGCGTGCAGTCGTACTTTTACCGAGCCGTAAGCTTCTGCTGTACCGCATTGAGTGTCGACGGTACCAGGAGCTACGTCAGAAACAGACGGAGAGTGTGCCGAGTGTAGCCACCCCTGGGTGGGGATCTTGTCCACTTTGAGTCGCACATCGCTTTGACTACACCTACAAAATCCCCTCAAGTCGTCGTCGTCGTCGTTGGCTGGCAATAAACGACTTGATTTGAAAACCATCACTATCTGGCAGATCTGGGCACTCGTACCTCTCGTGCTCTATGCTGCGTTCCAACTGCATCTGTTGCCCAAGCCAGCAGCCCAAGTCGCAGCCCAAGCCAGCAGCTCAAGTCGCAGCCCAAGTATTCTTTTACCTGACGTTGCCACTCACGTACTTATCGCAACGTCAGAACTACTGGACGCCGGTGGACTCGCATGTCCTGCTGGGAGCAGCGTCCACAGCTTTTGTGCCTCATGTTGACGCTCCAGTAGCTTGTGGGGTTGGTGCAGTTGTCAATCGATGTGATGAGTACGCATGCCCTACGAACCAGTACAAGAGACACCACATCCAGCAGCTTCAACTGCCGACAGTTGACCACTTATATCCGTCACTTGAGGCATTAACAGCAGCCGTTGCGTTTATCCAGATGCAGAAACAACGGGAGTCAGGACGTACGTTCACTGCAAAGGAGGCACGGGACGCAGTGTGGCGGTGACCTTGTGTTGGCTCGTGGATGCTCGTGAAATGGATCCTTGAGCGACACAGGAGTATCTGAATGGGAAACGCCACGTGCGCAAAGTTGCTTTACTTGCATCCAGATGTCCGTGCGTTCTACCACAAGGTTTGGTCGTTGAATGAAGGTGACAAGCAGGATGAAGGTACGTGTCGGCGAGTTGGAAGTCATCTCTATAAAGAAGATCCGTGAGTGAATTCTATTGACCGATCTGTTCGTCTGCTTATTTGCCTGATTGTTTCTGTGTACTGCATAGATGGAGTGCTGCCAAGGAGAAGGAAAAAAGATCCGGATGCTGTCAATCAGAAACCTCGCGTTGAGAACGTCAATGCGTTGCTGGATATCCACATGGACCGAACTTCGAACGGTACATGATCGAGAAAATGAAGGCGCAGTTCGACGGTAGTGGAGTTTGGCGGGGTAGATTGACGAGAATGTGGACTCATGGGCTTTGTTTGCTGTAGAAAATTGTCGCTGAGTTGGCGCGCTCGCAGGCGTTTTACCATGCCAAAGGCATGGAACTCTTTGCCGTACCATGTCAATCTATTGCAAAGCTCTACACTGCCAATGTAGGACATCTGAAAGGGGCAGCGCAAGTGAGGCACAAGCGAGCTAGAGGATATAGTAGAAAGTAAGCCGCCACGTAAGCTCTGCATCAACTTGTGCCGTTGCCGAGGAAACCCAACATGCAACAGGTGGGGAGAGGAAGCGAGAGGAGGGAGCATGAGGGAGAAAGAGGGTTCGTGGTGGTGGGGATTGACGAGGTTGTGCTTGTCTTTGTTGTTGTACGGTGGTGAATGGATGGGGATCTTCGATAATCAAGACGTACTTGGACGTGAAGCAGAGCAAGGTGCATGCTGGATAGGCGGGGCAAAGAAAGGGAGTTCAAGGACGTGACGGGCGTCATGGAAGGCGTGCAGTCGTACTTTTACCGAGCCGTAAGCTCCTGCTGTACCACATTGAGTGTCGACGGTACCAAGAGCTACGGCAGAAACAGACGGAGAGTGTGCCGAGTGTAGCCACCCCTGGGTGGGGATCTTGTCCACTTTGAGTCGCACATCGTTTTGACTACACCTACAAAATCCCCTCAAGTCGTCGTCGTCGTCGTTGGCTGGCAATAAACGACTTGATTTGAAAACCATCACTATCTGGCAGATCTGGGCACTCGTACCTCTCGTGCTCTATGCTGCGTTCCAACTGCATCTGTTGCCCAAGCCAGCAGCCCAAGTCGCAGCCCAAGCCAGCAGCTCAAGTCGCAGCCCAAGTATTCTTTTACCTGACGTTGCCACTCACGTACTTATCGCAACGTCAGAACTACTGGACGCTGGTGGACTCGCATGTCCTGCTGGGAGCAGAGTCCACAGCTTTTCTGCCTCGTGTTGACGCTCCAGTAGCTTGTGGGGCTGGTGCAGTTGTCAATCGATGTGATGAGTACACATGCCCTACGAACCATTACAGGAGACACCATGTAACGGGGTGAATCGTTACATAACAATTTATAAGAAATTGTTAATAGAATATATCTTTAAGAGTTGTATTCTCAGAATGTTGTCATACGGACAAATATTCTGCAGCACTTACGAGTAGTTCCTAATTGGTTGATATAGGCCATTATATCAACCAACGAAGATGCGCCACGACAGACGCACGCAATGAGTGGTGAGCAGATAGTTGATATGCACATTTGTATTTAGTCATAGTTAGATGAGGACAAACAGTGGTTTATTAACAGACATTAACTATTATAAATACAGTTCTACTTAAACCAAGTACTCGCTTCTTCTTACCGTCTTCCTCTGCACGTACGAGTGTACGTGAAGTTCCTAGGCACCGCCTTATTCTGTCATCAGAATAAGTAGCTTGTACTGTCACCAGTACAAGATTCAGGGTGCCCCGTTACACCTGGTAGCACTCCGTAGTCCGTCCAAGGACCACGTTCGCATCTAACATGAATATGTCAGATGATGAAGATGACCAAAGCTTTCACTCTACGCGTGACGGCTACTTCCATTTGACGATGTCGAATGGGATGCGGTTGAACGAATGGGTTCGACCATGGGCATCCATGCTGTTAGCGTCATGCTAGAGGCTCTCAATAGAGATGCCCAACATGCTACTATCGCCAAGTTCATTCAAAATGAACGTGACGCTGAACGCGAGAAAGTAGCCTTGCTTCACTAACAAGTTTTTCAACAAGCAGAGTTGTTGAGAGAACAGGGTGTTCAACAGTTTGAACGGTTGAGACAGCAGAAGGCTGCTGCTGGTGGGTCGATGCATTCGCGTCGACCCGAGACTTTGAAGATTGACATCTCCAAGTATAGGGGAGTCGAAGAGGACTCACTCTTGAGATGGTTCGTCGAATTGGATGACGCCATAAGGGCGCGTCGCATCGACGACGGGGATATGCAAGTTGCATTTGACCAGTCAAATCTGGCAGGACGTGCCAAGACTTGGGCACTGGGGCTCAAGTTGCACGACCCATATGCGTTAGGGTCGTTGGAAGTCTTCAAGTCGCGGCTCAGACAAACGTTTGAACCGCCTAGAGCTGAGTTCAGAGCTTTAACTGAACTCTTGAAGCTCAAGAAGGGTAAGCGTGATGTGCACGCTTACGCGCAACATTTACGACATCTTATGAGTTGTATAAGTTCCAATCCGGTGGATGAACACACGTTGGTTTCGGTGTTCATGCAGGGTCTTGCGGATGGTCCCGTCAAGACTCACCCGTTCCGGCTTTAACTAGATTCACTAGAACAAGCCATTTCCATTGCGGAGCAGGAAGACTTTAGTCTGAGACAGGCTCGCGCCAGCTCGACATCATATCGTCAACCGAGACGATATGACAACGGAGGTCCAGAGCCGATGGAACTATGTTACGTAGAGAGCGAGAAGGCTCGCTCTACAGGCTACAAGAAGTTGCAGAAATGCTACAGATGTCAAAAGGCAGGACACTACGCTTACGAGTGTTGTGCCCCTCGTCCAGTGTCTCGCAACACTGGGTGTAGTGACCGTCCACCCATGAGAAAGGGGCAGGGACGCGGGTCCGCTGTTGGTGCAAAGACGCAACAACGGGATGGACCGTCAAAAACGGACAGGACCAGTAGGTGCGGAGCACCCTACTGGTCCAGCAACGTCAAGAGATTTGATAGGCCTCTTGATGAAGGTTGCTCCCAACACACAAACGTTGTGCGTTGCTGCTCTAGGTAATGAGGTCTCACTCATTACCTTGAAACTCGAAGTGACAAATAAGTTTTCTCTTCGAGCTCTAGTCGATTGTGGGGCGTCCAACAATTTTGTGCGACGCCAATCGCTAGAAGATGGTCACTTTAAGTTTATTGAATGTGACACATCTCGTACGCGGATGACGGTACGTCTTGCGACAGGCGCATCCGTAAGCTTCATGAAGCGTATAGTGAAGATCCACTATACGCTAGAAGATACCCAATATGACGATGACTTTATCGTATTGGATTTGGATGACAAATTTGATGTCATCCTTGGAATACCGTGGCTCAGAAGGTACGAACCACGGGTAAACTGGCAACATCGGACAGTAACGATGCCTGCCGCTTGTTCATCAGATGGCCATCTAATGAACGTTTTGGAGTGTACCCAAGCGTGTGGATGTACTACGAGTGAGTGCGATGGCCTCACTTGTGGTACGGTCGTTTGTACGACTGCACAAAACCTTAGTGTAACAAACGGTTACACTTCGGAGCAAAGTTCCGGCAGCTGTGAGGAAACACAGGCTGCGACGAAGGTCCACCACTCCAATAAGTTGAGTGGACCGGGACAAAGATGTATCTCTAGCGGTGAACATCTAGAAGAGAAACAATCGATCGCTCAGGTTAAGCGAAACGATGATCCTAGATCGACTGGAGAGTCTTTCGTAGAGGATATCGCTGTGGTTGCGCAACCCCAGCTAGAGGAAGTAAATGGAATAAGTCCCGACATTACAAATACGGCGGAAATAAGTCCCCCGAACCCCACGGGAAAATCCCGGGAAGCCGAAGGAATAATTCCTTTGAGGCCTGAGGGAATAAGTCCCCAGGAAATGACAGAGACATTGAATGTCATAGTCAATAACGGATCAAGTGTAGGCGCTTATACACTTGATCTGATTGCGCCTCCGAAGTTTACTTCGGAGATCACTCAGTTGCCAACGCTCGAACATAAAAGGTTCTTGCGTGATCTGCGTAGTGGCAAAATCAAGCAGATCTGCGTACTCGTCGCTGATGACGAGTGTGTAGCCGACAAAGGTCAGCAACAATGTTTACTGAGAACGAGAGAGTTCTCAGTAGTTCATCAGTGGATGAGAGTGTCCTAAATGAAAAGACACGAGTCGAGCGATATGACTCCCAATCGTGGGAATCGCTCAAGACAAATCCTCTCTATGAAGATTTGGTTAAATTCAAGGATGTATTCCCTGAAACTGTTCCGTGCGAGTTACCGAAGGATAAAGGTACTCAAAATGAGGTCGAGCTTAAACTAGGCTCGAAGTACTGTGTCATGAAGTAGTGGCCACTGCCTCGTGAACAAGTACTTGCGATCGACAAGTTCTTTGCCGATCGTTTAGCTGCGGGCTATGTGAGGGAATCTACTTCTCCACATAGCTCTTCGACCTTCTGTGTGCGAAAAACAACAGGAGGGTGGCGTATAGTGCATGCATTTAACAAGTTGAATGTTGCAGCGGTACCGGCTCAGACGCCGATACCGAGGAAGGACGTAATCATTGATGGTATGTCAAAGAGTACCATCTTTTCGTCCATGGATATGATGCATGGCTTCTATCAAATCCTTTTGCGAGAACGGGATATACCCTATACCGCAGTTAACACGCCTAGCGGCATGCTCTGAGAGTGGCTAGTAATGCCACAAGGGCTTAGTACTGCCCCTGCCACGTTCAACAGATGTGTATCACATCTGTTGAGGCCAGTACGAGAATTCGCGCCGAGTTATTTTGATGACGTCTTCATTCATAGTCGAGCTATGGATGGACAGTCGGATGTTGAGGTTCACAGGTACCACGTCCGACAAGTTCTTACAATCATGCGAAAGCATCAATTGCATGCAAACCTCAAGAAGTGTATATTTGCAGCAAGCGAAATACCACTTCTTGGGTGCATCGTTGGTAAGAACGGTGTGCGTCCTGATCCCGAAAAGATCAAGGCGATCACCGACTGGCCTGTGCCGGTTGATGTCAAAGGTCTTCGAAAATTCCTTGGTCTAGCGTCGTATTTGCACAAGTATTTACGCAATTACGCCGAGATGACTGTACACCTCTATCGTTTGTTGAAAAAGAACGAGAGGTGGTTATGGAACGCTGAATGTCAACGCTCCTTTGAAGGTATCAAGCAGAGCTTGATACAATCTCCAGTCCTAGCAATAGCCGATCAGGACAGGCCATTTCATGCGGTCTGTGATGCCAGCGATTTCGCAATCGGCTGTGCATTAATGCAGTACGATCTTGAAGGCGTTGAACGCGTCGTCTGCTACCAGTCGCGTCAGCTGCAACCAGCTGAGCAGAACTATCCAGTGCATGACAAGGAACTCCTTGCCATGAAGTACGCACTCGCGAAGTTCAGAGTCTATCTATTAGGAGATAGACCCTTCATTGTTTACACTGACCATGCGTCATCACGCACGGCAGTGAACAGCCCGCACTTTTCTCAACGAATGGCGCGGTGGTTGTCATTCTTTGCAGAATACAACTTTACGGTCGATTACAAACCAGGACGACTCAATGTCGTCGCTGATGCACTCTCACGTCGTCCCGACTTTGAACCAGTCGCGAAACTCAACAGTGAGACAGTCACTGGTGCGGTTATGACGTCGTCAGTCCCATCTACAACGTTGCATGACGATGTGAGGCGGGCATACGCCCAAGATGGTGAGATAGTGAAGTTGTTGACACATCTCTCACAACCATCTCGAGAATCGTTGAAACGATTATCGTCTGCGTTTCGATCTGCATCAGATAGACACACTACTCGCAACGGTTTACTGTATTATACAGCCGTTTCTGGTGACACACCACGTTTTGTCATTCCAGATGATACTGATCTGCGTTTGCGAATCATGTTCGAGTATCACGATGCTACTATAGGAGGACAACGTGGCCGGGAGAAAACACATCTTACGGTGAGTCGAGACTTTTACTGACCCCGCCAGTATCAGTTTGTGCGAAAGTATGTTCGCGCACGCGAAGTCTGTCAACGAGTGAAGTCAAGTCCTTCACTGCGCGCACCTATACAGCCTCTACCGGTTCCGGCAGAGTGCTGGGAATCCATCTCAATGGATTTCGTCTTCGGGTTACCCAAAGACGCACGAGGGAATACGGGTATTATCGTGTTTGTTGACAGATTCAGCAAAATGGTACACCTTGTGGCTGTACAAGAGACAATCACGGCAAGTGGCTGTGCTTGTGCCTTTATTGACACCATCTTCCGACTACATGGGTTTCCCCGTGAACTCGTATCAGACAGAGATCCACGCTTCACTGCTGATTTCTGGCATTCCGTGTTCAAATTACTCGGAACGCGCTTGAAGATGTCGACATCTGATCATCCCGAGTCAGATGGTCAGACGGACCGTGCCAATCGTGTCCTTGAAGAGATACTTCGAGGATACGTACACTCCTTTAAGAGTTGGAGTGAGTTTTTGCCAATGGTAGAGTTTGCCATTAACAACTCGGTGCATGCGTCCACGACACATACACCGTTTTACGTGAATGGCTTGCGCCATCCGCGTGTACCCACCTTACTAGAGTGTAACTCTGGTTTAAGGGGGGAGGGACTCGCGCGAGCAAAAACCGATTTGGTTCACGCTCATCACGCTCTGACGAAGAGGTCATTCCGTTTGATGCCGATATCGATAACATCGATATCGGAGAAGATGATGCCATTGAGAGTGCGGAAGCCCTTACTGAAGAAAAGGTTGATGTTGCTTCAGTGCACTCACAGCGCACTGAAGCTAACGAGCCATCAGATGAGTTCATACTGGCTCGTGAAACGGTAGTCCGTTTTGTGCAAGACTCCATCGCCGGAGCGGTGGATAAGCAAAAGCAAAACGCTGACAAGAATTGAAGGGTAAGCACTATTTTGTTTAGTAAAGGTGACTTAGTCCTACTGTCTACGCTTAATCTGCCAAAGCATGTAGTGACTAACTTGGGTAGCAGTAAACTACTACCCAAGTACATCGGCCCATTTCGCGTATTGCACCGCCTAGGCAATGCATACACGATCGAGTTGCCACGTAAGATGCGAACGCATCCCACGTTTTACGTTGGTCGGCTTAAGCCGTACCATCAGTACGCTGCTTCTTCCGATGAAGAACGCCCTTGCGCTCAAGCATCTCGCAGAGAGCCTTGTGCTCCCGATGGTGGGCATCAACAAGGGTCTGAAGAGCATTTTTTTCATCCCGAGACCGATCAACAAACCCACGAGCTACCCTTAGCTCGTCACAAGGAGATATCAGAGATCTCTCGTTCTCAAGCTGAGCAAAGGCAAACTCAGCTCGATGCTTCAAGACAGTATCCGCCAGTTGAAGACGCCTGTCCCGCTCATGTTCGAGATCCCCGCGTAACCCTTGCGTTAAGCGATCAAAGAAGCTCTCGGGAACACACCGATCCTCACGATTGTGTGGAGAGCGGCTTTCCTCCTCCTCCACCTTCATTAGACGACTCTCGCGGTGGCCAGCGCTATCTAGTTGAGCAGCTGTTGAACCACCGCGACGTGAACGGATGTCGGACGAGTTATCTCGTCCGGTGGCGCGGCTATCCACCGTCCTGGGATTCTAGGGAGCCCCGCTCCCAACTGATGGTTGACGTACTGGGTCTGGTCGAGCAGTAGGACGCGGCACATCCTGTGCCGCAGAAGGACCGCCGGAGAAAGTCTTCCCGGCACGGTCGTAAATGGATTTCAGGTTGTCAATCCCTTCGTACATCTCAATAGAGATACGTACGCGCCACCACGGGCTATTAGGGAGGTAAGCCTCTCTAGGTGCTCGTGCAGAGTTGTTCACACAACATGGGCACGAGTCTCCCCAAGAGAGGCAGGTTAACCCTTTCTCCCTTGACAGACGATGCAGCTTGTAGCGTGCACCTGTTGGGGTTCTCTTTTCAAACTTATCACGAGCTTTGATTAGTTTGTCGTTCCAAGCGTCACGACCTACATCCTCGAGGTTATGGATGTAGGCGTTCCACGCTTGAAGCAGCGAGGGACCATCACGTTGTGATTCCCACTGTCCCATCGATGTCTAAAGAAAGCATCAATGAAGAATTCATTCTCAGCGCGATAGTTTTTCGCGCTGGGGTCAAGGTGATGGATCTTTGACGAATTGAACAACCGTGTTCGATAACGATCACTCGTCGTCGCCGACAAGTGATTCTTGACAGATTTAGGAGGCATCCATGCCTTCTTCTCGGGAGCGAGACGCAACACACTGCGGTCCCGCTCTTCCTGCGATGTGCCGACAGAAGGACTGGCACCTTGTTGCAAAGTGGTGTCCATAGGAGAACCAACACCACTGTTAGCGCCCGAGCCTCACGACCTCGAGCGCCTTCGCTTTGGCGATGGTTCATCTGACTCATCAGATGAACCAAAGATGCTACGACGCACAGCATCATCCATGCCACGCTTGGCAGGCGGCTTGGATTCGATCGCCGTCGATACGGATCCGTCTTCCGTATCAGGAGAGTATGAGACACCGAGCTCATACTCTGTAAAGACATGAGTGTCTTCATGACCAGCGCCTGCATCACCAAGTGACACAGGCTGAGTCGCTTCAGCAACCGATGAGACATCGGTTGCTGTGGTTTCTGCTTCGGCGTCCGCATAGAGACGTGCGGACGCGCTCTCGGCGGCCTTGCGCGCGCATCGCATGGGCTTGTAAACCATGTGATGAGATGTTGGAAAGTGGACTCGGACCAACAAGTGCAAACCCTGTCCTAAATGATTTGGGACGAGTATCCATTTAGTCAATCAGTCACTAAAGTGACTGATGGTTAAGGGAGGGGTGATGTAACGGGGTGAATCGTTACATAACAATTTATTAGAATCGTTAATAGAATATATCTTTAAGAGTTATATTCTCAGAATATTGTCATAAGGACAAATATTCTGTAGCACATACGAGTAGTTCCTAATTGGTTGATATAGGCCATTATATCAACCAACGAAGACGCGCCACGACAGACGCACGCAATGAGTGGTGAGCAGATAGTTGATGTACACATTTGTATTTAGTCATAGTTAGGTGAGGACAAACAGTGGTTTTTAACAGACATTAACTATTATAAATACAGTTCTACTTAAACCAAGTACTCGCTTCTTCTTACCGTCTTCCTCTGCACGTACGAGTGTACGTGAAGTTCCGAGGCACCGCCTTATTCTGTCATCAGAATAAGTAGCTTGTACTGTCACCAGTACAAGATTCAGGGTGCCCCGTTACAGAGACAGTTCCAGAGGTTTTGGAGCAGCCGCAAATCCAAACAATAGATCAAGATGCAAGAAAATCAAGTGATCATGTGGCGTTTCTGTCTACTCATGTAGAGTTTCCCGTTCCAGAGTCAGCATCGACAACAAGTGAGGAGAATGGACGTTGCCAGACCTATGTGGACGGCTGGGTGAACCAAGAGAACAGTGCGGCAAACAACTGAGCAACGAGGTTGATGGAATGACCGATTTACCATTAATAGAAGGAAAGAACCACGACAGCTCGTACCACCGGCAGAAAGGGAATGCTTGTCATCCGCAGGCTTGCCGCCTCCAGTGCCACCTATCACGCGTAGTCCTGCACCACTGTGGAAGCTGTCGAATCAGGAAATGGAAGCTCCAACATTCGCGTTCACCTGTACTTTCGGTGCTGTCGGGCAGTTGGAGCTCGCCAATGTATATACTGTCGAGGCTTTGCAGCCAGTTGTCAGCCAGCCACCTCGCGAAGGTCAACACGTTCTTCCAGCAGCACGTTCTTCCAGCAGCACGTTCAGATCAGATCATCTTGTCACGACCAATGTCTTTGTATCTGCATGTTCACATCGACACGAACATGTCAACTCGTTCAGACGGACACGTTTTCTCTTAGCGCGATTAGCATGCTCCGTTTAGTCTCTCCTTCTGTGTCATCGATTGCCGAAAAGTGTCAATATCCATCTCAAACAAACGCACTGGTATTCGTACCACTTGCACAAACTGTCATCGCAAGGGCCCTCCTTGCATTCATTGTCAAGCCACCAAACATAGACGACGTCCACACACAACTCAGCAGCCACCTGGTTTGGTCACCACGTCGACGTTGATGTCGACGGACACAACGCAGTCATCGACGTCGGTCACCAACATTGATCACCAGCCAGAGATACACACGCCTCCACTGTTCTACTTTTGGACCTTCACCATTCTACTTATGGTTGTCTTCTAGCAGGTACCACCGATTCATGAGCGACGGAACCGGACTACCACCCTCCGCGACCTTCTTCGACGACCATCAACCGTCCACCGTGTCGACAAAACTACTGTGGAATTTAAACCTCGCTCGAAGTTCTATTCCACGCTCGTGACTGGAAACGCGATCGAGACGCGCCGACTTTTCAACCATCTACTCGATTTACAATCAATCAACTCAATCAATTGAAGCAGTCACCATGACGCTACGTGACGAGTCACTCGTCGCAACACCAGCCCACTCGCTAGCTCGTACATCGATCGCACTCACAAACCAACTGGCACTACCACACCAACACCTAGCGAGCAAGTACTCGACCAACCGACCAAATCGACCATGATGTGCACTGCTCTCGCCGTCACCGCGCTAGTTGCTGTAGCAAGCGTCGCCTCAGCTACTGACTACCAGCCGGCGCTCCGGGCCCTTGCTGCATTGGAACCAGCTACACCCAGCACTGACACGATGGCAGCGGGTCCTACCGAGCGACATTCGCATCCTGTTGAGGCTGCTGCTGATGTAGCTGCGGAAAACGAGCCTACTGCCGTCATCGGTGCGGAAGGCAAGAAGTCCAAGGAGTGGTGGGGAGGCTTGGGATGGGGACGTCCCTGGGGTGGCTTCGGGGGATGGGGTGGCTATGGTGGATGGGCAGGCTACGGTGGCGGATGGGGGTGGTAGACCTCACACATGCTGGACATCGCGCCGACTGACATGCTGCAGCGCATGCAGACGGGCTCACGAACGAGATGACACGGAAGCCAAGCAAGAAGAAAATCTGCGTGCACTGCCGGACTCGCTCTTGTTTGTGAGGCTGTCTGTCGCTACTTTCGTCATCACTTGGATCAGCATGTCAACCTGTCGACGGAAGAGTCGACCATCTGTACTGTCGGTGCTGTCGGGCAGTTGGAGCTCGCCAATGTATATACTATCGAGGCTTTGCAGCCAGTTGTCAGCCATCCACCTCGCAAAGGTCAACACGTTCTTCCAGCAGCACGTTCTTCCAGCAGCACGTTCAGATCAGATCATCTTGTCACGACCAATGTCTTTTTTGTATCTGCATGTTCACATCGATACGAACATGTCGACTCGTTCAGACGGACACGTTTTCTCTTAGCGCGATTAGCATGCTCCGTTTAGTCTCTCCTTCTGTGTCATCGATTGCCGAAAAGTGTCAATATCCATCTCAAACAAACGCACTGGTATTCGTACCACTTGCACAAACTGTCATCGCAAGGGCCCTCCTTGCATTCATTGTCAAGCCACCAAACATAGACGACGTCCACACACAACTCAGCAGCCACCTGGTTTGGTCACCACGTCGACGTTGATGTCGACGGACACAACGCAGTCATCGACGTCGGTCACCAACATTGATCACCAGCCAGAGATACACACGCCTCCACTGTTCTACTTTTGGACCTTCACCATTCTACTTATGGTTGTCTTCTAGCAGGTACCACCGATTCATGAGCGACGGAACCGGACTACCACCCTCCGCGACCTTCTTCGACGACCATCAACCGTCCACCGTGTCGACAAAACTACTGTGGAATTTAAACCTCGCTCGAAGTTCTATTCCACGCTCGTGACTGGAAACGCGATCGAGACGCGCCGACTTTTCAACCATCTACTCGATTTGCAATCAATCAACTCAATCAATTGAAGCAGTCACCATGACGCTACGTGACGAGTCACTCGTCGCAACACCAGCCCACTCGCTAGCTCGTACATCGATCGCACTCAAAAACCAACTGGCACTACCACACCAGCACCTAGCGAGCAAGTACTCGACCAACCGACCAAATCGACCATGATGTGCACTGCTCTCGCCGTCACCGCGCTAGTTGCTGTAGCAAGCGTCGCCTCAGCTACTGACTACCAGCCGGCGCTCCGGGCCCTTGCTGCATTGGAACCAGCTACACTCAGCACTGACACGATGGCAGCGGGTCCTACCGAGCGACATTCGCATCCTGTTGAGGCTGCTGCTGATGTAGCTGCGGAAAACGAGCCTACTGCCGTCATCGGTGCGGAAGGCAAGAAGTCCAAGGAGTGGTGGGGAGGCTTGGGATGGGGACGTCCCTGGGGTGGCTTCGGGGGATGGGGTGGCTAAGGTGGATGGGGAGGCTACGGTGGCGGATGGTAGACCTCACACATGCTGGACATCGCGCCGACTGACATGTTGCAGCGCGTGCAGACGGGCTCACGAACGAGACGACACGGAAGCCGAGCAAGAAGAAAAATCTGCGTGCACTGCCGGACTCGCTCTTGTTTGTGAGGCTGTTTGTCGCTACTTTTCGTCACCACTTGGATCAGCATGTCAACCTGTCGACGGAAGAGTCGACCATCTGTACTGTCGGTGCTGTCGGGCAGTTGGAGCTCGCCAACATATATACTATCGAGGCTTTGCAGCCAGTTGTCAGCCATCCACCTCGCAAAGGTCAACACGTTCTTCCAGCAGCACGTTCTTCCAGCAGCACGTTCAGATCAGATCATCTTGTCACGACCAATGTCTTTTTTGTATCTGCATGTTCACATCGACACGAACATGTCGACTCGTTCAGACGGACACGTTTTCTCTTAGCGCGGTTAGCATGCTCCGTCCAGTCTCTCCTTCTATGTCATCGATTGCCGAAAAGTGTCAATGTCCATCTCAAACAAACGCACTGGTATTCGTACCACTTGCACAAACTGTCATCGCAAGGGCCCTCCTTGCGTTCATTGTCAAGCCACCAAACATAGACGACGTCCACACACAACTCAGCAGCCACCTGGTTTGGTCACCACGTCGACGTTGATGTCGACGGACACAACGCAGTCATCGACGTCGGTCACCAACATTGATCACCAGCCAGAGATACACACGCCTCCACTGTTCTACTTTTGGACCTTCACCATTCTACTTATGGTTGTCTTCTAGCAGGTACCACCGATTCATGAGCGACGGAACCGGACTACCACCCTCCGCGACCTTCTTCGACGACCATCAACCGTCCACCGTGTCGACAAAACTACTGTGGAATTTAAACCTCGCTCGAAGTTCTATTCCACGCTCGTGACTGGAAACGCGATCGAGACGCGCCGACTTTTCAACCATCTACTCGATTTGCAATCAATCAACTCAATCAATTGAAGCAGTCACCATGACGCTACGTGACGAGTCACTCGTCGCAACACCAGCCCACTCGCTAGCTCGTACATCGATCGCACTCAAAAACCAACTGGCACTACCACACCAGCACCTAGCGAGCAAGTACTCGACCAACCGACCAAATCGACCATGATGTGCACTGCTCTCGCCGTCACCGCGCTAGTTGCTGTAGCAAGCGTCGCCTCAGCTACTGACTACCAGCCGGCGCTCCGGGCCCTTGCTGCATTGGAACCAGCTACACTCAGCACTGACACGATGGCAGCGGGTCCTACCGAGCGACATTCGCATCCTGTTGAGGCTGCTGCTGATGTAGCTGCGGAAAACGAGCCTACTGCCGTCATCGGTGCGGAAGGCAAGAAGTCCAAGGAGTGGTGGGGAGGCTTGGGATGGGGACGTCCCTGGGGTGGCTTCGGGGGATGGGGTGGCTAAGGTGGATGGGGAGGCTACGGTGGCATGGGGATGGTAGACCTCACACATGCTGGACATCGCGCCGACTGACATGTTGCAGCGCGTGCAGACGGGCTCACGAACGAGACGACACGGAAGCCGAGCAAGAAGAAAAATCTGCGTGCACTGCCGGACTCGCTCTTGTTTGTGAGGCTGTTTGTCGCTACTTTTCGTCACCACTTGGATCAGCATGTCAACCTGTCGACGGAAGAGTCGACCATCTGTACTGTCGGTGCTGTCGGGCAGTTGGAGCTCGCCAACATATACACTATCGAGGCTTTGCAGCCAGTTGTCAGCCATCCACCTCGCAAAGGTCAACACGTTCTTCCAGCAGCACGTTCTTCCAGCAGCACGTTCAGATCAGATCATCTTGTCACGACCAATGTCTTTTTTGTATCTGCATGTTCACATCGACACGAACATGTCGACTCGTTCAGACGGACACGTTTTCTCTTAGCGCGGTTAGCATGCTCCGTCCAGTCTCTCCTTCTATGTCATCGATTGCCGAAAAGTGTCAATGTCCATCTCAAACAAACGCACTGGTATTCGTACCACTTGCACAAACTGTCATCGCAAGGGCCCTCCTTGCGTTCATTGTCAAGCCACCAAACATAGACGACGTCCACACACAACTCAGCAGCCACCTGGTTTGGTCACCACGTCGACGTTGATGTCGACGGACACAACGCAGTCATCGACGTCGGTCACCGACATGGATCACCAGCCAGAGATACACATACGTTAATGGGGTTACACGTAGTTATTGAACCGGTTGTATTGTGTGTCCACACTAAGTAAAGATTGGTGGGTCTGAGTGGTACAGTCTTGGTACCACGTACTTTCGGTAATACCGTACCTTATCGGGTAGGGATGAGGGATAATTGAAGTCCTACGACAGAAGTCTTATGACTTCTATCCTAGGATCATAATGTAAACGTCTTATGATTTCTGTCATAGGAACGCAATGTAGAAGTCAATCAGACAAGGCTTTGGAGCTTTATTACCGTAGTTCAAGAATTAATAAAGCTCAGTTCCCCTTTTGAATCGTCGGAAACAAGTGGCGAGTCAAGGCGTAGTGTGTTGTAAGGGTGTTAGCCTTGTAACGGCGCTTACTCTTGTTTAACTAGTAGTCTCTAGTTAGTGTGTGATTCTATGAATCGTAACCCCTTTGCAACTGGGATTGTTAAGCTTGTACGGTTGAACGACTGTACGTCGTTGTTAGTTTGTAAAACTAAGAGACAATTTGAGTCTAAGACTTCCTCTGTTAAGGAGCGCTAAGTATCTCCGCTAAACTTGGTAGCACTTGTAGTCAATCTACACCTGAGTCTTCACGGACTGAATTCTCTGCGAGGATGGAAACGGCCATGAACTTCTCTGAGGCCCAGCAGGTCACGCTTGAGAAGCTCAAGGCGTTGATCGAGCACGAACAAGTGGCTATTATAGTGTCGCAAGGTCTGGACGCACTTCGTGCACGTCTCGAGGCCTTCTCGAACTTTGATTACATGCTGATCGGACAGGTGCATGACCATGTGGCATCTGCCATGCCCACTCGGTATGTCCCAACGGACACTGAGTCAAGTACTCGTCCTTTAGTCTTAAGTGTCAAGACTTTTGAGGGGAAAAGGGATAAATTCTTTTTTTGTGGGTTAGAGAGATGGAGGTTACCATCAGCTCGGCCTTGCTGCGGTCAGAGCAGCAAAAGGTGGGCCTGGCCTTATCGAAGTTAGGTGGGCGATCCAGGGAGTGGGCTGTCACTTCTGGTACCTCGACAGGCGAGGCTTTTCCCATCCGGAACATGCTGAAACAGCAGCTATCTTGAGTGTTTTCACCTCCTAATCAGGTATATCGCGTGCGATCACGAGTCCTGTCAACCCGCCAGGAAAAAAGGACTTAGTCGATTATGTCCAGGAGTTTTGAACTCTCATTGCTGCTATGCAGCTTGACCCTTTACCTGAGACGGTTTTGGTAGCCATTTTCGTGGACGGTCTTCGCACTGGCGTTGCCATAACAGAAGTGTTTCGTGCACAACCATTGACATTTGAGGGTGCAGTGGACATAGCGTTGAACGCAGACTTCAACTGATAGCTGCCCTAAATGGGACTCATGGGCTCCAGTCGAACTCGTCGAGCAATGCTCATCTCATTTATAGGGCAGAACCCATGGATCTTTGGCTCTCTGAGAGAGACGAAGAAGCTTAGCTCTATGATGTCGGGCAGCGTTCGAACATCCGTAGATGTTTTACGTGCGGAAGCATCAAACACCTTCGCCCTAAATTGTCATTTCAGAAGGACCAGACAAGCTCGTTCGAGCCGACCTCCCGTCGCTAACCAACGAGTTGGTAAGGCGCGAAAACGTCGAGTCTCAGTAGGCGCGGGGCGCCCTGATGGTGAAAACCTAGGCTCTGTTGTACATCTGGGAGGTGATAAAGAACAGGGCTTAGCCCCAAGTGGCTTTGAAGCAATGTCACGAAACATGAGTACAATCCAGGCTTGTTAGTTACAAATCATGGTAAAGGGCTTTGACAAGCTTTGGTCGATATTGATCGACTCCGGGGCGTCGAGAAATTATGTCCGACGTTGTTCCCTGGAAGGAAGTCAGAAGTATGCTGAGGCGCTGAAAGCACGAAATAATGAGACTATCACTGTTTTGCATGGCGACAGATGCATTAGTCACTATGGCTAAATTTCATGTGAGCTTAGGCGTTAAGTTTTTGGACTTTGACAGTATCGAACGCTGTTTAGTCCTTGACTTGGATGAGAGGTATGTCCTTGATATGGCTTGGCTAGAACGCCATGAGCCATGGAGTGACTGGAGGTCAAAGACCTTAGGCGCAACGCGCACTGTTCCTAGTGAAGCTTTGGAGAGTCATGAGCCCACCTCTGCTAGAAAACAGAAGCGCTATTGGCGCGAGCCACGGACTGAGACAGTCAGTGTACTGGACATCGGTATGGCTGAACTCGTTGAGCTGGAAGATGTCAAAAACGTTAGTTGCGAGCCAAGCTCGTTGAATGTGAAACGGCACGTAACCCGTCGATCAATAATCGTTGTGATTACGAATCAACGAATGCTGAACGCATTGTTGGTCTAGAGCCAAGTCATCATGGATTGAACCCATCTGATGAGCATGGAGTAGCACGTGCATACCCACTGAGTGATGTAAGCCGTGATTGTGACAAACTAAATGTCATTCAAGACTCTGTTGGTGAAACGCCATTTCATCAGGGGCGATACCCATTTGATGAGCGAGGAGTGGCACTTAAATACCCACTGGGTGGTGATATCACTGGAAGTGACTCATCACCGAATGTCGGCAATGACGTCGGATCGGAAATAGATCAAGTTGAGGTTGACGTATTTCGTTACTTTGGAAACAGTGTAGTCCCATATGTCGGTAATGACATCGGCCCTGATATTGGGTAAATATAGGTTGACGTAGTTCGTCACCTTGGGGACAGTGTAGTCCCAGATTTCAGTAATGACATCATCCCTGATATTGGGTATGTTAAGGTTGACGCAGTTCGCCACCTTGGGGCGGTATAGTCCCGGATGTCGGTAATGACATCGTCTCCGATAATGAGCAACTTAAGGCTGATGGGCATGTTAATCTCGGGAACATTGCTGTCCCGGGTGTCGGTAATGACACCGACTCTTGTACAGAGCAAGTTAAGGATGATGATGATATCAACCTTCGGAACGAGAAAGTTCCAGTCTCTTTGAGGCGTTCAGTCTCGTTACAGAGACGACAGCGACGCCAGATTGCTTCTATGCAACGCAAGGCGTCTGCTACGTCACTGAGTGATACTAGCGAGCAGCTGTATACACTCGTTTATGGTGTGACCGGCAACGTAGATGGGTCAGTGAGTCTTGAGACCCTACCCTCACTGAATTATCTGTTAGAGCTAGACGAAATGTCTGTCGATGAGTTCGGCCTGATCTTAAAGTCAGGTGACGTATCTGAAGTGGTGGTCATCGGATGCGATTGTAAGTTGAACTCTTTGTCACTCCTTGATGAAGCTGTATTGGAAGACACAAAGGCGGCACTGAGTGCTCGAAGTGGGTCATCGATCTTGAAAGATCCCCAAGACCCTTTTATCCTTTGGTTAAGGAGTTTCAGGATTTGTTGTGTCACGATCCACCTTCCACTCTTCCTTCTGATCGAGGCGTATGTCATGAAATTGACCTGGTTCCTGGAAACAAATACTTTATGACACGGCAATGGTCCCTAACGAAGGAGCGGTGTGACTTCATTGACGACTTCTTTCGTGCAAAGCACGCGGACTGGAATGGTGCTTGAGAGCAAGTCTCCATACTCGACACCAACATTTTGTGTCAGAAAGCCAGAATGGCAAGTGGCGCATTGTGCATGCTTACAATAAGCTCAATGCAGCCACGATACCGGCACAGACGCCTATTCCTAGAAATGATGTTCTTTCGAACGCTATGGTGGATTGTAACATTTCAGCGCACTCGAATTGGTCGATGAGTATTATCAATTGCTCATGCGAGCGAGTGATATTCCGCTCACAGCGGTTGATACTCCAAGCGGTATGCTTTGGGAGTGGCTTGTTATGTCTCATGGGATGTCTAATGCCCCGGCTACAGTTTATCGTCTTGTGACGCAATTGTTCCGACCTCAACGAGTATACGCACAAAGCTGTTTCGATGACATCTTTGTCCATAGCCGTGCAGAACATGGTAGTACAGATGTGGACAATCACATTGACCATTTACGAGTAATGCTCGAGTGCATGCGTACAAACAAGCCGTATGCAAATGCATCGAAATGCATTTTTGGTGCAGAATAAATTTCATTTCTCGGGTGCTTCATTGGAAAGAGTGGCCTTCGAGCGGACCCCGCTAAGGTAAAGTGAACTGTAGACTGGTCGGTTCCGTCGAACCAAAAGGACTCGCGTAAATGGTCGGCCTTGTTAATTACTTGCACGAGTACAGTGCAAACTACGCTGACATGACAAGGCCATTAACCAACCTCATCAAGAAGGATGCAGTTTGGTATTGGAACGCATCTCATGCTCAAGCTTTTGAAGCTATAAAGGACAGTCTCCTTCATGCTCCAATTTTGGCTTTGCCTGACCCTAGGCGGCCTTTCAGTGTCGTCTGTGACCCGTCTGATTTTGCTATTGGTTTTGCAGAAGAGCTACCAAGTTCATGACAAAGAGTTACTTGCAATGAAGTATGATCTTGTTAAGTCCAGAGTCCATCGACTTGGATCAAATCCCTTCGTGATCTTCACAGATCATGCGTCTTTACGCACTGCGACAAAGTCACCTCACCCCTCACATCGTATGGACCGTTGGCTTTCGTTCTTTGCTGAACACAACTTCGAGGTTAAGTGTAATCCGGGCAAGCAAAATGATTTGGCTGATGCGTTGTCACGCAGACCTGATTGCGAGCTTGATCATGTCAAGATTCTGTCGTCATCCATTGTGTATTTAATTTTTTCGGCATATGCACGTGGTGAACAATGTGTAGCATTGCTACATGCTTTTGGAAGCGAGTAGTTTAAAGTCTCGGACGTCAAATTGTTGGCACGTTTACGTGCGAGCCTACATCGGTATGTCATCTATGGTGGGTTGTTATGCTATTGCACGGGTGTTGAGGATGTGCCTCGCATCTCTGCTCCTCGTGATGATGAATTGAAGTATCATATCCTCTTGATGCATATGAAACTGCTTTGAGCGGTCATCTCGGTCGTGAGAAGACCTATAGCTCAGTTAGGCAGGCATATTGGTGGCCCAACTTGTACAAATGGGTGAGCACATATGTGCGTTCATGTGAAACATGTCAACGGGTCAAACCCTCAGCACATGCGGTTGCATCGATTGCTAGTTTAACTTTACCCACTGGGTGTTGGGAGTCCATCAGTATGTACTTTGTGGTAGGCCTACCAAAGGATTCGGACGGCAACACTGGTATTGTGGTCTTTGTTGACCGTTTGAGCAAGATGTATCATTTGGCGGCTGTGCCTGATTACATCGATGGTAAGTTACAGCAAAGATGTATATCGACCGTGCGTTTCGTCAACACGGTTTGACTGTGTCAATGGTCTCTGATCTTTATCCACGTTTCACTGGGAAGTTTTGGACTTCCATCTTCAGTGTGCTGGGCACCAGGTTGGACATGTCCACAGCAGATCATCCGCATACCGATGGTCAAACTGAGCGTGTCAACCGTGTCATTGATGACACTTTGCGCAGTGTTTGTGCTGATACGCCTAGGCGTCGGTGCTCTATGCTCATGGGGTCGAGTTTGCGGTAAACAAAGCTGTTCATTCCTCTACGGGATAACTAAATTGTAGCTGAATGGTCTCACTCACCCACTCGTTCCGTTAACGCTACCACTACGTGGTACCGAGCTTGGTGGGGGAGGAATAGCCGATTGGCTTGGTGATGTCAGCCCAACTGCTGTTCAGAAACAGGTGGGCGATTTTCTCGCTACGCGATTGATTGCGTTAAGACACGTACGTGTTGCAATGGATGATAGCCAGGACAAACAAAAGGAATAAGCTGATGCCAAAGGTAGAAAGTGTATTGAGAGCTATGAAGTTGGAGACCTAATCTTACTTAACGCTAAGAATATACCTACAAGGTGGTGTCAGCGGTCTGCAGGACCAAGTTGCGTCCTCGCTTCATTGGGCCGTTTACGGTCGTGGCCAAGAACGGCCTAGCGTATACGCTCAACATTCCACGCAAGATGCGAGCACACCCTGTGTTTTACGTCGGCTTGCTTCATCCTTATCTTGAATCGTAGCTGATGGATCACGAGGCGCTGGCGCCGAAAGAGTTGGTGATGCCACAAGTCAAGGAACCCTCAAGAGAAGATCCAGTTGTCCTTCAAGACTCGCCACTAGGTTACGCGGACCGTGCCCCTCGTGCGCTAGCTCGTCGACGACGCTTCAAGATTCACCGAACACCGCCTGCTCTCGTTGACGAACCCTATGATCAACAGTACCATCTTGAGAGAATCCTGCAGCAACGTCGTCGCGACGGTCAGTACCAGTACTTGGTACAGAAGCGGAGGTACCCGGAGTTGGAGAACTCATGGGAGTACGAAGTGCCACTGCGGCAGGATTTCCCGTATGCCGTTGACGTTTTCGAACGTCGTATTCAGGGTCTGTCGACACACACCGCATCCCACTAGTCTGTGTGGGAGTGGAGAGGTTTGCAGCAGCAGCAGGAGCGCTGATGCGCGGGTTCGTAGCTGCCGCATCATAGCGGGTGCGATGAAACGATCGCAGCTGGAATTTGGCCTTTTGTTTTGCAAAATCAAAGCGCATCTTTCGTTTGAGCCGAACATCATCAAGTGAGGATCTCTATTGGAGAATAAACAGGCTTGGCAGACGGCAGGCTCTGTGATCCCAACGAGTGAAGGCGACATCATTTTCCGCCTCTGTCTCACCAGGGACGAGAATAACGGGTACTGTCCGTGAGGCGGACGCTGATGCAACTGGAGCTTGCAGATTCAGCTTTTTAAGGTGAGTTTGAGTGGATTTACGCTTGAACACCAGGTATCTCGCTTAGAGCCTCCCTCTCCGCTAGTGCTGTCGATGTGGCAGCCTTGGGTCCCGTGATCCATGTTACCAGTGACTTCTCGGCAGTCTGATGAATGCGTTTATCTACACTCGGTCGTGTGAAGCGTTAACCACTGTGAGCATAAGCTGTGGATACACTTTGTGCTGGACGCCTGTGGTTATCGATTAACTGAAGATATTGAGCTTGATCTTCATCAAATGTGTTGTGCAACACACCCAACGCAGGTTCGACGTCTGCACACTGTGCAAGGGGTAAAGGAACCTCCTCGCGTTCCACGAATGGAATAGGCGCGATGCACGTGGTGTCCCGCGCCGGCGGCGTAGCTAAGGCGGTTCATAGATACTATAAGCGGCGGTGTCACTCGCATAGTCCACCGTACTAAATTCTAGAAATTCTTTTAGGGTGTTGGACGAAGCCTTTGGCTCAGTCATTTTGTGATGTGTTGTGAACACGATGGTCAAGGACCAGAGCGTTAAGACAACAAAGAGCAGTAGCATTATTTTCGATACAAGGGTGTAGACAATTTGGTAGAGGAAGGTGTAACGGGGTTGCACGTAGTTATTGAGCCGGTTGTATTGTGTGTCCACACTAAGTAAAGATTGGTGGGTCTGAGTGGTACAGTCTTGGTACCACGTACTTTCGGTAATACCGTACCTTATCGGGTAGGGATGAGGGATAATTGAAGTCCTACGACAGAAGTCTTATGACTTCTATCCTAGGATCATAATGTAAAAGTCTTATGATTTCTGTCATAGGAACGCAATGTAGAAGTCAATCAGACAAGGCTTTGGAGCTTTATTACCGTAGTTCAAGAATTAATAAAGCTCAGTTCCCCTTTTGAATCGTTGGAAACAAGTGGCGAGTCAAGGCGTAGTGTGTTGCAAGGGTGTTATCCTTGTAACGGCGCTTACTCTTGTTTAACTAGTAGTCTCTAGTTAGTGTGTGATTCTATGAATCGTAACCCCTTTGCAACTGGGATTGTTAGGCTTGTACGGTTGAGCGACTGTACGTCGTTGTTAGTTTGTAAAACTAAGAGACAATTTGAGTCGAAGACTTCCCCTGTAGCGGAGCAACTAAGCGCTCCCTAATAAAATATGCCTCAGTGTCCGCCACGAGGACAGTACCCGTTATTCTAGTCCTGGTGAGAAAAAGGCGGCAGATGATGTCGCCTTCACTCGTTGGGCTCACAAATCCTGCCGTCTGCCAAGCCTGTTCATTCTCCACGAGAGAGCTCCACTTGATGACGTTCGGCTCAAACGAAATACGCGCTTTGATTTTGCAAAACAAAAGGCCAAATTCCAGCTGCGATCGTTTTATCGCACCCGCTCTGATTGCGAAGCTACGAGCCCGCGCATCAGCGCTCCTGCTGCAAACCTCTCCACTCCCACACAGACTAGTGGGATGCGGTGTGGGTCGACAGACCCTGAAGACGACGTTCAAAAACGTCAACGGCATACGAACAATCCTGCCACAGTGGCACTTCGTACTCCCATGAGTTCTCCGACTCCGGGTACCTCCGCTTCTGTACCCAGTACTGGTACAGACCGTCGCGACGACGTTGCTGCAGGATTCTCTCAAGATGGTGCTGTTGATCCCCTGGCTCGTCAACGAGAGCAGGCGGTGTTCGGTGAATCTTGACGCGTCGTCGACGAGCTAGCGCACGAGGGGCACGGTCCACGTAACCGAGTGGCGAGTCTTGAAGGACAACTGGATCTTCTCTTGAGGGTTCCTCGACTTGTGGCATCACCAACTCTTTCGGCGCCAGCGCCTCGTGATCCATCAGCTACGATTCAAGATAAGGATGAAGCAAGCCGACGTAAAACACAGGGTGTGCTCGCATCTTGCGTGGAATGTTGAGCGTATACGCTAGGCCGTTCTTGGCCACAACCGTAAACGGCCCAATGAAGCGAGGACGCAACTTGGTCCGGCAGAACGCTGACACCACCTTGAAGGTAGATTCTTAGCATTAAGTAAGAATAGGTCTACAACTTCGTAGCTCTCAATACACTTTATACCTTTGGCATCAGCTTGCTCCTTTTGTTTGTCCTGGCTATCATCCATTGCAACACGTACGTGTCTTAAGGCAATCAATCGCGTAGCGAGAAAATCGCCCACCTGTTTCTGAACAGCAGTTGGGCTGACATCACCAAGCCAATCGGCTATTCCTCCCCCACCAAGCTCGGTACCACGTAGTGGTAGCGTTAACGGAACGAGTGGGTGAGTGAGACCATTCAGCTACAATTTAGTTATCCCGTAGAGGAATGAACAGCTTTGTTTACCGCAAACTCGACCCCATGAGCATAGAGCACCGACGCCTAGGCGTATCAGCACAAACACTGCGCAAAGTGTCATCAATGACACGGTTGACACGCTCAGTTTGACCATCGGTATGGGGATGATCTGCTGTGGACATGTCCAACCTGGTGCCCACCAACTGAAGATAGAAGTCCAAAACTTCCCAATGAAACGTGGATCACGATCAGAGACCATTGACACAGGCAAAGCGTGTTGAAGAAACGTACGGTCGATATACAGCTTTGCTGTAACTTACCATCGATGGAATCAGGCACAGCCGCCAAATGATCCATCTTGCTCAAACGGACAACAAAGACCACAATACCAGTGTTTCCGTCCGAATCCTTTGGTAGGCCAACCACAAAGTCCATACTGATGGACTTCCAACACCCAGTGGGTAAAGTTAAACTAGCAATCGGTGCAACCGCATGTGCTGAGGGTTTGATCCGTTGACACGTTTCCAATGAACGCACATATGCGCTCACCCATTTGCACAAGTTGGGCCACCAAAATAACTGAGCTATAGGTCTTCTCACGACCGAGATGACCGCTCAAAGCAGTTTCATATGCATCAAGAGGATATGATACTTCAATTCCTCATCACGAGGAGCAACGATGCGAGGCACATCCTCAACACCCGTGCAATAGCACAAAAACCCACCATAGATGACATACCGATGTAGGCTCGCACGTAAACGTGCCGGTGATTTGACGTCCGAGTCTTTAAACTACTCGCTTCCAAGAGCATGTAGCAATGCTACACATTGCTCGCCACGTGCATATGCCGCACAAAGTAATGCACAATGGATGACGACAGAATCTTAACATGAACAAGCTCGCAATCAGGTCTGCGTGACAACGCATCAGCCAAATCATTTTGCTTGCCCGGATTACACTTAACCTCGAAGTTGTGTTCAGCAAAGAACGAAAGCCAACGGTCCATACGATGTGAGGGGTGAGGCGACTTTTTCGCAGTGCGTAAAGACGCATGATCTGTGAAGATCACGAAAGGATGATCCAAGGCGATGGACTCTGGACTTAACAAGATCATGCTTCATTGCAAGTAACGCTTTGTCATGAACTTGGTAGCTCTTCTGCAAAACCAATAGCAAAATCAGACGGGTCACAGACGACACTGAAAGGCCGCCCAGGGTCAGGCAAAGCCAAAATTGGAGCATGAAGGAGACTGTCCTTTATAGCTTCAAAAGCTTGAGCATGAGCTGCGTTCCAATACCAAACTGCATCCTTCTTGCTGAGGTTGGTTAATGGCCTTGCCATGTCAGCGTATTTTGCACTGTACTTGTGCAAGTAATCAAAAAGGCCGATCCATTTACGCGAGTCCTTTTGGTTCGACGGAACCGACCAGTCTACAGTTGACTTTACCGTAGCGGGGTTCGCTCGAAGGCCACTTTTTCCAATGAAGCACCCGAGAAATGAAATTTCTTCTGCACCAAAAATTCATTTCGATGCCTTTGCATACGGCTTGTTTGTACGCATGCACTCGAGCATTACTCGTAAATGGTCAATGTGATTGTCCACATCTGTACTGCCATGGTCTGCACGGCTATGGACAAAGATGTCATCAAAATAGCCTTGTGCGTATTCTCGGTGAGGTCGGAACATTTGCGTCACAAGACGATAACTGTAGCCGGGGCATTTGACATCCCATGAGGCATAACAAGCCACTTCCAAAGCATACCGCTTGGAGTATCAACCGCTGTGAGCGGAATGTAGCTCGCTCGCATGAGCAATTGATAATTCTCATCGACCAAGTCGAGTGTGCTGAACATGGTACAACCTACCATAGCGTTCTAAAGAACATCCTTTCTAGGAATAGGCGTCTGTGCAGGTATCGTGGCTGCATTAAGCTTATTGTAAGCATGCACAATGCGCCACTTGCCATTTTGGCTTTCTGACACAAAATGTCGGTGTCGAGTGCGGAGACTTGCTCTCAAGCACCATTCCAGGCCGCGTGCTTTGCACGAAAGAATTCGTCAATGATGTCACACTGCTCCTTCGGTAGGGGCCATTGCTGTGTCAAGCAGTATTTGTTTCCAGGAACCAGGACAATTTCATGACGTACGCCTCGATCAGAAGGTAGAGTGGAAGGTGGATCGTGACACTACAAATCCTGAAACTCCTTAACCAAAGGATAAACGGGTCTTTAGGATCTTTCAAGATTGATGACTCACTTCGAGCACTCAGTGCCGCCTTTTTGTCTTCCAATACAGCTTCATCAAGGAGTGACGACGAGTTCAACTTACAATTGGATCTGATGAACACTACTTCAGATAAATTACCTGACTTTACGAT